CCGAAGCTCTCATACCCGGCCTCGAGTGCACTAGCAGCAGAACAGGCGTCACGTGCCGTAGAGGCGGCCGCCGAGGAAGCCAGGCTGCGGACGCCGAAGCTCTCATACCCGGCCTCGAGCGCACTAGCAGCAGAACAGGCGTCACGTGCCGTAGAGGCGGCCGCCGAGGAAGCCAGGCTGCGGACGCCCAAGCTCTCATACCCGGCCTCGAGCGCACTAGCAGCCGAACAGGCGTCACGGGCTGTAGAGGCGGCCACCGAGGAAGCCAGGCTGCGGACGCCCAAGCTCTCATACCCGGCCCCGAGCGCACAAGCAGCAGAACAGGCGTCACGGGCTGTAGAGGCGGCCACCGAGGAAGCCAGGCTGCGGACGCCCAAGCTCTCGTACCCGACCTCGAGAGCACTAGCAGTAGCGCAGGCATCACGAGCAGTAGAGGCGGTCCTCGAGGAAGCCAGGCTGCGGACGCCCAAGCTCTCATACCCGGCCTCGAGCGCACTAGCAGCCGAACAGGAGTCACGGGCTGTAGAGGCGGCCAACGAGGAAGCCAGGCTGCGGACGCCCAAGCTCTCATACCCGGCCTCGAGCGCACAAGCAGCAGAACAGGCGTCACGTGCCGTAGAGGCGGCCATCGAGGAAGCCAGGCTGCAGACGCCCAAGCTCTCATACCCGGCCTTAAGCGCACTAGCAGCAGCGCAGGCGTCACGGGCTGTAGAGGCGGCCACCGAGGAAGCCAGGCTGCGGACGCCCAAGCTCTCATACCCGGCCCCGAGCGCACAAGCAGCCGAATAGGCGTCACGGGCTGTAGAGGCGGCCACCGAGGAAGCCAGGCTGCGGACGCCCAAGCTCTCATACCCGACCTCGAGCGCACTAGCAGTAGCGCAGGCATCACGAGCTGTAGAGGCGGCCACCGAGGAAGCCAGGCTGCGGACGCCCAAGCTCTCATACCCGGCCTCGAGCGCACTAGCAGCAGAACAGGCGTCACGGGCTGTAGAGGCGGCCACCGAGGAAGCCAGGCTGCGGACGCCCAAGCTCTCATACCCGGCCTCGAGCGCACTAGCAGCAGCGCAGGCATCACGGGCTGTAGAGGCGGCCACCGAGGAAGCCAGGCTGCGGACGCCCAAGCTCTCATACCCGGCCTCGAGCGCACAAGCAGCAGAACAGGCGTCACGGGCTGTAGAGGCGGCCACCGAGGAAGCCAGGCTGCGGACGCCCAAGCTCTCATACCCGACCTCGAGCGCACTAGCAGCAGCGCAAGGCATCACGGGCTGTAGAGGCGGCCATCGAGGAAAGCCAGGCTGCGGACGCCCAAGCTCTCATACCCGGCCTCGAGCGCACTAGCAGTAGCGCAGGCATCACGAGCTGTAGAGGCGGCCACCGAGGAAGCCAGGCTGCGGACGCCCAAGCTCTCATACCCGGCCTCGAGCGCACTAAGCAGCCGAACAGGCGTCACGGGCTGTAGAGGCGGCCACCGAGGAAGCCAGGCTGCGGACGCCCAAGCTCTCATACCCGGACCTCGAGCGCACTAGCAGTAGCGCAGGCATCACGGGCTGTAGAGGCGGCCACCGAGGAAGCCAGGCTGCGGACGCCCAAGCTCTCATACCCGGCCTCGAGCGCACTAAGCAGCCGAACAGGCGTCACGGGCTGTAGAGGCGGCCATCGAGGAAGCCAGGCTGCGGACGCCAAAGCTCTCATACCCGACCTCGAGCGCACTAGCAGCAGAGCAGGCATCACGGGCCTGTAGAGGCGGCCATCGAGGAAGCCAGGCTGCGGACGCCCAAGCTCTCATACCCGGCCTCGAGCGCACTAGCCGTAGCGCAGGCATCACGAGCTGTAGAGGCGGCCATCGAGGAAGCCAGGCTGCGGACGCCCAAGCTCTCATACCCGGCCTCGAGCGCACTAGCAGCCGAACAGGCGTCACGGGCTGTAGAGGCGGCCACCGAGGAAGCCAGGCTGCGGACGCCCAAGCTCTCATACCCGACCTCGAGCGCACTAGCAGCTAGAGCAGGCATCACGGGCCTGTAGAGGCGGCCATCGAGGAAGCCAGGCTGCGGACGCCCAAGCTCTCATACCCGGCCTCGAGCGCACTAGCAGCCGAACAGGCGTCACGGGCTGTAGAGGCGGCCATCGAGGAAGCCAGGCTGCGGACGCCCAAGCTCTCATACCCGACCTCGAGCGCACTAGCAGCAGAACAGGCGTCACGTGCCGTAGAGGCGGCCATCGAGGAAGCCAGGCTGCGGACGCCCAAGCTCTCATACCCGGCCTCGAGCGCACTAGCAGTAGCGCAGGCATCACGGGCTGTAGAGGCGGCCATCGAGGAAGCCAGGCTGCGGACGCCCAAGCTCTCATACCCGGCCTCGAGCGCACTAGCAGCCGAACAGGCGTCACGGGCTGTAGAGGCGGCCACCGAGGAAGCCAGGCTGCGGACGCCCAAGCTCTCATACCCGGCCTCGAGCGCACAAGCAGCAGAACAGGCGTCACGTGCCGTAGAGGCGGCCATCGAGGAAGCCAGGCTGCGGACGCCCAAGCTCTCATACCCGGCCTCAAGCGCACTAGCAGCAGCGCAGGCGTCACGGGCTGTAGAGGCGGCCACCGAGGAAGCCAGGCTGCGGACGCCCAAGCTCTCATACCCGGCCTCGAGCGCACTAGCAGTAGCGCAGGCATCACGAGCTGTAGAGGCGGCCACCGAGGAAGCCAGGCTGCGGACGCCCAAGCTCTCATACCCGACCTCGAGCGCACTAGCAGTAGCGCAGGCATCACGGGCTGTAGAGGCGGCCACCGAGGAAGCCAGGCTGCGGACGCCCAAGCTCTCATACCCGGCCTCGAGCGCACTAGCAGCCGAACAGGCGTCACGGGCTGTAGAGGCGGCCACCGAGGAAGCCAGGCTGCGGACGCCCAAGCTCTCATACCCGACCTCGAGCGCACTAGCAGCAGAACAGGCGTCACGTGCCGTAGAGGCGGCCATCGAGGAAGCCAGGCTGCGGACGCCCAAGCTCTCATACCCGGCCCCGAGCGCACTAGCCGTAGCGCAGGCATCACGGGCTGTAGAGGCGGCCAACGAGGAAGCCAGGCTGCGGACGCCCAAGCTCTCATACCCGGCCTCGAGCGCACAAGAAGCAGAACAGGCGTCACGTGCCGTAGAGGCGGCCATCGAGGAAGCCAGGCTGCGGACGCCCAAGCTCTCATACCCGGCCTCAAGCGCACTAGCAGCAGCGCAGGCGTCACGGGCTGTAGAGGCGGCCACCGAGGAAGCCAGGCTGCGGACGCCCAAGCTCTCATACCCGGCCTCAAGCGCACTAGCAGCAGCGCAGGCGTCACGGGCTGTAGAGGCGGCCACCGAGGAAGCCAGGCTGCGGACGCCCAAGCTCTCATACCCGGCCTGAAGCGCACTAGCAGCAGCGCAGGCATCACGGGCTGTAGAGGCGGCCACCGAGGAAGCCAGGCTGCGGACGCCCAAGCTCTCATACCCGGCCCCGAGCGCACAAGCAGCAGAACAGGCGTCACGGGCTGTAGAGGCGGCCACCGAGGAAGCCAGGCTGCGGACGCCCAAGCTCTCATACCCGGCCTCGAGCGCACTAGCAGCAGCGCAGGCATCACGGGCTGTAGAGGCGGCCACCGAGGAAGCCAGGCTGCGGACGCCCAAGCTCTCATACCCGGCCTCAAGCGCACTAGCAGCAGCGCAGGCGTCACGGGCTGTAGAGGCGGCCACCGAGGAAGCCAGGCTGCGGACGCCCAAGCTCTCATACCCGGCCTCAAGCGCACAAGCAGCAGAACAGGCGTCACGGGCTGTAGAGGCGGCCACCGAGGAAGCAAGGCTGTTGACTCGCAAATTGGGCTCGACAGCGCTGTAATATCTGTTCACCAGGCAACTAGTGATGCAAGATGCCCTAGCTCCGAAAAATTCGGTAGGAGCACTGTGTGGGTTATCTTGTACTGCATCCATGTGTTCTGTAGGGGCTTTTTGAGCAGGTACGGTTGGCTGATCGGAGGATGTTGCAGCGGCCGTGGTGGTACTGGCTGTCGACTTGCGGTAAGCCCAGGACATAAGGAGCTGCCAGAACTCAAGTATGCCAAACGCTACGTAGCCACTTGTGTTGACAGGTTCAGCTGTCGTTCCACGCAGCCACGTAGCCACAGAGTGCACAAACGTGCCGAAGACGACGGAGACAAGGTCCAACATGCTGAAGTCTTGAGGTGGGCCTGCATATGGTTGCCCGTGTGTTAGGAAAAACAACCTGGATATGGACGTGCAGCAATATGGCTATCTTGTAACCAAGCCGCAGGTAGAGTCACACGGTTCAGCTTTGACTCCTACCGTTTGGGCCGTAACCTTCTGGATCGCCTGGACCATCATTCTGGCCGCCACCGTTTCCAGGGGGCACGGATCCCGGTGGTGCCGCGGCCACGAGGAGGCAAGGTTGTGCCAGTGACTCATGTCGGTACTCGTGGGATAACCTTGACGCCCGGCCCTTGCAAGCCTGCGTATGTACACATGAACAAAGCGCACAGAAGGCAGAGCGACAAAACGATAACAACCACGACATCTTCACAGCTATTTATTAAACCTATGGGATCACTTCCATGGGTTCTCCTGTCCCGATATGCTTCAGCGCCTGGCAACATGTATGCGCTGTTAATTTGGTAGCCGAGCGACTGCCACTTGCCTGCGCTGCGGTAGTCGATGTCTGAGCAGCTCCACTCAATAGCTCATAGGTGCTTATAACTGGGAAAGCCGCGCTACCAGCAGGGCTTGCTTCGCTGGTGTGCAGGACGCTTAATGGCTTACTACTGCGTTTCGCGGCGGGCCTCCTCATACCTCCTTCCACCTGTTTAGTATAGAGGTGCAAACTTTATTTACAGCTGCAAGTTCGGGTGACACTAAACGGAGCCAACTGGTGGGCTGTCGCAAAACGTTATAAACTCCCACCTGCAAGGAAGACCGGACCCTTCGCAGACGGGCACCAAGCTGCAGAGGCGTTAGAGCTTTGTACGTTGGTGAAAGGGGTAGGCGTACGTTTGTAGGTATCCGCTCCATCTTCGCTACACTCTCCAGGAAGCAGCTAAGGCGCTGCGAAGGGAGCACAGCGCCAACATGATGCAAATCCTAGCCATACTTCTATACAGCGCCAAATAGAAAGCGTATAAAAGAATTAGGACCCAGCAGCCATGTTTGCAGCAAGGTGGTAGTTGTCAATCAGCATCCAAGAGCCTCCGCGTTACTTCAAATTCCATTAGCGGCACGTTTTTGCTTCAATCAACTATAGGGGAATCCTGAAACACCAAGCTGTCGGGCATCGTATCAAAGGAAAACAAAGGTTTCGGAGCCCCTATGGACGGTTGGGATTTAAGGAAAGCAGCCCGAATGAAAGATAGACAATCAGACAACGCAAGACAACTGGCGGGGCCAGGCTCCGCTTCACTTTCCACCCTGGAGTCTTCCAACCTGCCCTGCCAACCAGCACCGCTCCTAGACTTGTAAAATGATATTACCTTTAAGAAACCTAATAGGAATCCGTTTTTGCCATTACGTCCAACACATTAAGGCCGACCGTTAGAGCCTTTATGCATGACTCGCTGAAACCTGCTTACTTACCAAACTCATAGGTACAATCCTTATGCGTCCTGTATGTAGTTTGAAACCAAGCCATTGTCTTCCTCAAACGTCGAAATCGTTACACTCGTCGCGATGCTTGCATGCCATACCGAGTATCGTAGGAGCGAACGAGCTGCGTTCGGCATATGCGAGCACACGGAATAGCAACAGCAAATGCCGGAGCCAGCCGACACAGCAAACCCATGAACCTTACATCCTGTCACCGTTGTCTTGTCCATCCAAGCGCGCGCTCGCTTCACATGCCACAGGTTTCAACCATAGCACAACACAACAAGACGAAGACGAAACAAACACCTTGAACTGTTGAACTGGTCCACTATACGACATTGACACACCACGATTGCGTATCCACACATTTAACCACACATTGCATATCCACGCATCTCCCACACCCCCGAATATTCGCTCACAGCTCCAAGCGTCCCTCTCCCTCCTCGCACTCCCCCTCGCCCACACCCTCGCCCTCGTCCTCTCCCTCGCCCTCCCCCTCACTCGCTGCAGTCATGTCGATGCTCTCAATCTTGTCGTACTTCTCACGCGCCTTCTTGGCCGCCTCCAGCTCCTTCTCCGCCTTGCTCGCCTGTCGCGTGAGGGCGGCCGTCTTCTGAGTGGCCGCCTTGAGGTCCAGGGTGGCCTTGGTCTTCGCCACGCGCTTGGTAGCCTCCTCCTCTGACGCCGTCTTGACCTGTAGCTCCATGTCGCGGAACTTCTGCTGTGCCTCCTGGAGGCGAATCAGCGACTCCTCCTCGGACGGCTCCCCCTCCCGCTGGCGCTTGGCGCTTCCAGAGCGCGATGAGCCACCGGCGCTGGTGCCCCGTGCACGACTGGTCGCACGGCCGCGGCTGGTTGAGCGGTCCCTACTGGCTGAGCGACCGCGGCTGCTCGGGCGGCTGGGAGGGGCAGCCCCACGGATCCACGCCAGGGCGGGGTCCTGCGGGTCGACACAGCTCGCGAAGTGCTCCGCCGCATCGTGCACGGTGGTGGCAAAGGTCCCAGTCGTAGTGCGGAAGAAGCAGCTCCTCCTGTCCTGTCCGGTGACGTCCGGGATGGGGCGGTCCTCGCAGTGCTTGCAGGTGACGTAGTGCCCCTTGACATTCCCCCTCTCGAGTGTCCAATCCTTCTCTTGGATGATAAGCCCACCAGGGCCGGGGTGCGCGTTGGCGCACTCGGGGTTTGGGCACTGTAAGGGGGACAAGATAGGGAGGTACAGAACGGAAGGAAGGGAATTGGGAGGGTCAGGAAGAGAACACATCAAATGGAGGAAGATGGCGATGCTTAAGTTGGTATAACGATGACGATGACGTGCTGGGGCCTTGGGATTGGTCAGGAGCGAGGAACGGCCGAAGGGCATCTCGCTGAGGCGACTCGAAGGAGCGGAAGGCGAGCTCAGCATCAGCTAGAGCGTGTACATTGACGGCGTCAATGTTCACTGCCCGGTTTTCTCGCCCTTCTGCATCGATAGGGCGGAGCCTGGCTTCGGAACCCCCCATATACCCCGCGTCGACGACACCGAGTTGCCCGGCGTACGTGCCTCGCAGGATCAACACGGCCTGGCGCCCCACGCTCGGTCCTGAGACAAGGCTGCGGCGCAGGTCGTGCCGACCGCCGATGGGGCAGACACGGAGCTTGTCTATCTTGATCATCCGGCCGTCGTCGTAGCGACCACCTTCATACGCAAGGGCCATACGTGACCCACCCGGGGAGCTGTGTAATAGCGTGGCTTCTCGGTTTTGATGAGTGTTGAAGACGAGCTTGCCCGGTCGCAGCACAGGCGATTGCATACAGGGGAGAAGGTCGGGCGTCACGCCTCCTTCTGTCGCCTGTGCGTTTGATGGTTGCGCGTCCTGCTAGGGGTCACGCACGAACACACAGCAGAGCGGTTTGGGTTTGTTAGGGCCCGTCAAGGAAAGCAGCGGTGAGAAAGGAACAAGGAAACATGATAATGGGCCCCTTTCATACGCTGCCTATTCCATTCCCAACTGCAGCTTGCCTCTAGGTACGCTCCAGGTGGCTGCATGTTAAGGAGACCAAGCGCTGCGCCACTGCCAATTGGTAACCCGGCGCCAGTGTTGCCTTCTCCGTCCGCGTCATCGCCTTCGGTCTGGTCCGCTTCTTCATCAACGCCATCCAGCCCATTGGCTTTATCTATATCCTCGTCGTCAGATGACCATGACAACAGGTCACCTTCGCTACTAAGAGGGCTGAGCTCCTCATCCGACTCTGTCATTGCCGAGGCGGGGTTCAGAAGCAAGAATCAACCAATTAAAGGTACCACCGATATGGGAAACAATGTGTCTAAAGGAATACAGCTTTAATTTAGCAAGGAAGGTAGGTTTTCAGTGGCATTGCATAAAGGCTCTAACGGTCGGCCTTAATGTGTTGGACGTAATGGCAAAAACGGATTCCTATTAGGTTTCTTAAAGGTAATATCATTTTACAAGTCTAGGAGCGGTGCTGGTTGGCAGGGCAGGTTGGAAGACTCCAGGGTGGCAAGTGAAGCGGAGCCTGGCCCCGCCAGTTGTCTTGCTCAGACAACAAGGTTGAAGCATGGCTTCAAGTTATCCCATCTCTGCTAATAATACCGGGGATGATTACCGGTATGCCCTCGTCAAGATCATATCGAGGGCTCGGCGTCCCTTAGGATGCGTTTGGCGTCGCTGGATTCAATAAAAAACGACTAGACATTATGTCTTGATGATACCATTCGGGCTCGGCAGCCTGTTTTGGTTTGCGGAGGGCTGCTGCATGCATGCGGACAGAATTGCCAAGCGTTACACTCCACGTTGCAGATGCACGACTTCCTTCCGGCCGGCATGCCGTTTTAGTCAATGTCCGTATGCCGCCTGACAAGCTCGTTATCATGGCCGTTCACGATGCCTTCTTACGCAAATGTGCATCGTAGTGACCACACGTCACGCAGAATGTCTGGAAGCGGTCCGACATCTCGTACCTGGAAGAAAAGAAGAAACAAGAGTCAAGGTAGCAGCACTTTCGGCAAGGTTCCTTGCAAGGCTCGTCCCTGCGGTCCTGCCCTGGCTCACCCGCACTTGGGGCAAGGGTCGCTGCCGTGTCTGGGCTTGTTTGGAACGATGCCGTTGGGGAACGTCTCCCTGCAGGGGTAGTGACACCGAGAGCGGGACTTGTCCGTTAGAGCTGCCAATAGTACGGCGAGGCCTCGCCTCCCGTGGGCAGGTGCCGGGCCCATACCCAGGCGTGTTGCATACGGTACCCTTGCTCACTCTCATAACGGCGGTTAGGCACTCGGTCCAATACATGGCACGAATGACATTGCAGGACTAGCTCCTCCTAACCAAACCCAGAAGGCATTTCCGCGCACCTGAACACGCGGTAGTAGTACAGATGTTCCTTATCCCGGATGTCCACTTTATGGTGTCGCGCAATGTAGGCCGACTCGGCGGCAAACTGCTCGTCGCTGATGTGCGCATCAAAGTAGCCCGGTCGTGACAGAGCGGTAGTGCCGCAGCCCACCTACGCAGGTAACACCTCCTGTCAGCAGGGCCTTACCGAGGTGCCAAGGCTACGCAAAACATGGAAGATTTGTGCATTCATACCGGTAGGTAAGCCGCCACGATCCTACGCCGTTCGGGCTGAATGCCAGTTCCCTTATACGCCGGGACTGGCGCAAAATCGTGGCGGCTTGATGGTTGGCGGCTTATGCCAGTCACCTCATGAGGACGCTGTTGGTCCCTCACTGCCATTTGGGATACCCCTGTGCGGCCCATGGGTCGTGGAACTCCTCATTCACCCACCTCAATGGGATCTTTGCGCCGCATGCATGACGTGACGGTTGGGAACAACTCGCGCAGCGGGATCTTCCCCAGCGTCTGTCCGTTTACCTCCTACACGGCACGAGCGTACAGTCGAGTCAAGCAGGAGGACTCGCCCTCCAAACGGCAACGTCATGCAACGTCATGCAAGGCAGAGCGTACGGTAACCAACCGTCTATGTGATAGTGAGCGAGCAGCAAATTGGCAAACAACTGTGGTTCTCATTGAGCGCATCGCATGAGCCCAGGAACACAAATTTTGTACCCCCAATGCGGAATGCATCCCTTGCCGCACCCAGGCCCCTCCATGCTCCCATCTACCGTACCTACCCGCACGCACTCCCCCTTCCCCAGCCTCAGCGCGGCCGCCTTGACACCCGGCTGAGTGAAGGGCGAGGTCACGAACACCCCTAGGTGCGCCCCGATGCGTGTGCTCCCAAACTCCATGACGCGCGCCATGTGGGCCCTGTTAGTTGCCCAAGCCGCAGGAGCCAGCCCATGCGTGAAGCCGTACCCGCCCAGCAACTCATCCGCGCCGTCGCCCGTCACAGCGCAGCGGTAGCCGCGGGAGGCGGCCTCCGACAGCGCACACGCAACTGCATGCGCAGCGTCAACCATTGCGGGGCATTGTGAATGTGTGGTTTGTGAAGGGCGATGGCGACGGTTCGCAAGGGGACTGTGAGACCCAAGAAGAACGCTGCTAGCCGGCGGCCATCCTTGAGATGCGCATGTCGGGATCAGAAGGCTCAAGTGCTCCGGCCTGTGGTTTCACAGGTCCAGCGCCGTAGCTGCATTAGGACCCAAGCAAGGAACTCCTGGAATGCTGCGCCCTTCCCCTGATGCCTAGGATCCTGAATTCCTAATTCTGAGGCCTCCTGGCAGACTTACTTGCCACGTCGTTCCTCAGCGACATGGGGTCGAAGCTCTGGATGGCTCGTACGACAGTGGGCAGGTAGCGCCTCAGCAGCTCACCCAACCCGATGCGGATCACGTGGTGCTCCAGGCCCGCAGCGGCAGCGGAGGCAGTGGCGTACGAGATGTCGGTGGCCTCTGTGGGGGGCAGAGAAGGGATCCGAGAAAGCGGGCAGCAAGGGGATTCGAAAAAGAGGGCTGCGAAGGGATTCGAGGTGCCCGTCAAGATGCAAGGGTGGGGTTGCTGTCGACGGGAGCGGGTGTTTGGTTGGGCGACGTGGCTCTCTCATCTTGTTAAGGAAAGGCCGCAGACTGACTTGGTAATTAGTAATTATTAATATGCAGTGTACCTCCGCTTTGTATGCCTGCTCATGCCCCTTACCATCCGAGCAAATCACTGTGAACGCTGCCTTAAGCCCCAGCACTGCGCCCCCGACCTCCGCGACGGTTGCACTGTCCAAGCCGCCGCTCAGCAGGATGCAAGCCGCGTTCGAATCCCACTCCTTGTGACTCGCTATGTGATCTAAAGCCTGCATGAACTCCTGCCGTAGCTTCTCAAGGCGACGGCGCCCGTTACATCTGGCACGCAGGATGAGCGCGGTGCCGACCGCTGACACCACAGCTGCCGCTGCTGCCCCGACGACAGTTAGTAGCCTCATTCGTCATATATAATTTAGCAGCTAGTATGTCGTTAAAATGCCGAAAGCGGCGGCAGGTCGAGGTGCGATGGCCCTACGTTTAGCGCTATCAGACTCGTTTACAAAGAAATTGCATCAACAAACAAACACTAGGCAAAACAGAGCAGTGATCGAGAGGCGTTCATAACTGCAGCCCAAGGCCCAAGTAGATGCAACGCACAACAAGAAGTCTCTTAGCTTTACAACCTCAAGATTGTGTATCCACTACAGTACTGTGCTTACAAGTTCAGTACAGCCAATCTGCCATGGACGCTCTTGAATCTGATTGACTCATCAACTACCGGCGTTAACCATAACGACCAACGCTGCCGTCCTATATATGGCCAAACCCGATGGCCGAGCCGCTTGCAAGGTAGCCATCTTGTCTCACACTGAGTGCGCTCATGACAGCGATGCTCACGTCTAGGCCCTACTTCGAGGCCTTGCAACGGCTGACATGTACGCTTGCGTGACGTGTGGCAGCCACTTCTATAGGTTACAAGTACCGTCAAGACGTACCCATTCAACTGTCCTTGCTTGATTCAACTGCCCTTAGGCCACGCCGCCCCGCATCAGGATTGCAACACGTTATCGCCGACACCGTACCCAAGGCCCTTCAGGTGCCGCATCACCAGCAACGCACTGTTGGTCGCCGCAACCGCCGCCATCTCCATTGCCGACGCCGCCGGCTCCAGCGCATTGCCGTACACCAAACCGGGGGCCAGCAGGAACGGCGTGAAGCGTTCGGGAGGGCTGAACCTGCAGGGTTGAGCAGCGCGAAAGGGGCCCGGAGTCAATCGATGCTGGGTTACGTCCAGAAGCGATGGCTGCATGCCCACTTACCCAGCGTTCGGCCACCTTCGTTGACTACTGCACCTCTGTGCAAAGCGCACATCCGGTTAACGCATACAAGGGCTCCACAACAACAACCCTAGAAACGCCAAACCGATGCTGCGCGGCTTCGCCATCTTCACACCTGGGGTATGCGTACCAGCGGCGGCTGGCCAGCAGACGCGGCGGCCGGGCGCCCCCCTGGAACAGGGCCGCCAGCACCACGGGTGTCAACTCCTCACGAGAGAAGATCTGCGCATGATGGGGCCGCAGAGAAGGCAGCGCCGTGCTTGGAATGGCAAAGGGTAGTTGCCAGAGCCAGGCAAAAGGACAAAAGGACAACCCCATGTTGCCAGTGATTGACAGTACGGTGGCTTTAAGCTACGCGGCAGACGGTACGCATACCTCAGTTAATGCGCTTGAGGACGAATCCCATATGCCGATATGTGGGCTTCACAAAGTTTATGGCCGGATGAAACCATTACCTCAACATACGCGTTTGCCTACACCTGCCTTGAAGACCCGCTCTTCCTCTTCCCCATCGGCGCCCTCTCCGCCCGCAGCGCTAGCGTCCTGCGCCGCAATGGACGAGAACGGCGCGTCTGCGGCATTGCTGACAAAGATCGCTGACACGGCAGGCAGTTGTACGACACCAAAGTAATCCGGCCGAAGCCCAGCCGCCGCGACGTACGAGGTAACGGTCACCTGGTACGGCCGCTGAAGGTGGGAGGCGGCTGCAGCGGCTGCTGCTGTGGTGGCAGCGGTGACGGCATCGTGGCCATGAGCTGAGCTGGCAGTTGTAGCGTTCACCGGAATGTTAGCTGCTGCAGTGCCGTTTTGCAGTACGTAATGTGAATTCGCACCAGATGATGGCAACACAGCTGTCGAGTAGCTGCTGGGCTCCAAGGCCATCTTATAATGACCGTTGTCGCTTGGAAACATCAAGTGGTCTCCAGGCCCGTCAGTTGCAGCAATCGTGTCGCTGATGTCAAGCTGTATTCCAGATCCAAGGAGAGGAGTTGCGACTATGACGGCATCGTACGGCCCGTAGACTTCTCGTACGGAATATGGATCCGCTCCATCAGTGTTGCAAAAGGCAAGGGCATGGGCGTGAGGGGCGTCAGCTTGGCCCTGAGTGTCACGAAGGCAACTAGGATGAGGGGTGTTCAACCCTTGCCGACAGTTGGCCGAATCCCGCTGATAATCATGGATGACTGGAGCCGCAGTAACTGCTGTCTCCAGACCATGACTGCTTGTGAGTCAGTGCAGCCGACTCCCCCCCAACCCTTGCCACGACAAAACCATCAGCACCTTCCACCACGGAGCTGCACTCACCTTGCATGGTGACCCCGTCCTCGTCTTCCTCCACCGGACATCCCTCCTCGCCGCACGCAGCCCCTGCCTCAGCGCCCGCATCCAGGACTGTACGACGTCCGCGTACGGCAACCTCCAACGTGAACCCCCCGTCTGCATTCCTACGGCGCACCCCCGTCACACGCGCCCCTCGCAGTACTCGGGCGCCTGATGAGGCAAGAAGCCCCGAAACCAGCTGGCGGTTGCCGCCCTCGATCCGCCACACGCTGCCGTACGCAGCAGGACCGTAAGACACAAGTCCTAAGATGGGGGTAATTATAAGCGTCAATGAGCCGGGCCTGACTCTAAGATGACATGCATCGTACCTTGCTATACAGCACCTGCCCGGCCCTCCTGCCCGCCCTCGCTCTCACCCGCCAGCGCATTCAGCTCCTCGTTGGCCTGGTTGTAGTTACAGCGGTTGACAGCGCCCGCCAGCTCCTCCGAAAACGCAGCGCCGCCCCACAACCACCAACTGCCCGGTCGGATCAACCAGTCCTGCGCACGGTGCCACCAGTCACGGCAGTCAACCCTGCATACGTCGCACCGGGCCACTGCCAAAGCCCCCAGTTGTGTCTCACCCAGCCTTTACGGTACCCGCGTACGTAGCTACATGCTGGTACCCACATACCAAAAGAAGCCTCCCCGTCACCAATACCGGTAGCAGGGGAGTCAGCACAAGGGCTAGGGCACAAGGGCTAGGCCCAGCGTTGAGCCCCGCCGCTAGCCCCACCCGCATGTACTCTGCTGCGCTCTGCTGCGTCTCGTTGTACAGTCCCAGATCCCGCAGCAGCTGCTCCGGCGCCTCCCAGCAGCGCCCCGCCGCCTGCATGTCGTACAGCTGCCGGAAGCGCCGGAAGGCGGCAGACACCAGCCACCTGTACCGCAGAGCCGCAGTGCCGTACCGAGCCGCAGCGTGCAGCAGATCGGACCAGGAGCCGGTCTGTGGTCCGGGGTGGGCGTTGGGGAGAGTATGAGTAGGTTTTCTTGATGGAGGTGTCAGAGGAGGAGGGGCCCTGCGCGTTTTGGAAAGCAGACAGGGAGCAGTAGCACCCGTCTATATGTGACAGGGCCACACACCAACCGTTGGAATGAAGTTTGCAGCTTCCTTTTCTGTCCCCTCCGAGCAGCAGTTCGGTCCCCGACCCGTGGGCCACCATTGCAGCATATGCCATCCTGGAGCCAAGCTGTTCCGAACACGCCCTACCATGTTCGTAACAAATGCGGTTCCATTCCAGATTGCAAAGCCATTCCCACCGCTGTCTCGAAGCAGCCGCGCGTGATGACCCTTGTGGTCTGCAGCAGTGCCATTCAGCTGAGTGCCATTTTGCGGCAGCCGACGCTGTTGCTGCTCCTGCCGCTGGCTCTTGCCACCTCTTCTGGTCACTGCCCGCAGACTGAGCCCGAGCTGTTGCGTTGCTGTCTTCACATAGGTGTTATAGTCCCAGAATATGGAAGCGCCCAATTCAAATGCCTGTCGTTTGCATGCATAAGGGGACGGAATGGGAGCTATGTACGCTAGAAAGGGAGATGGGAGCAGCAGGACGCCTGACCCATTACGAAGGACGGGTTTCGCAAGTGAGGCAAGGCTGCAGTGCACGAACCTCCCCGTTATACTGGAATTCTTGAACCCGGCCACCCTCGCGGCTGTCTGCTTCAAAGCTGCGTGCAACACCGTTCATCAGTTGACAGGGGTTGCGTCTTGCATGCGAAGGGTGTGGACAATAAGAGCATTCGCAATGGCAGAGATAACCCAGATCGGAGGAGCTTACACGTCAACATTCGCATGAGCGCCAGGGAGTGAAAGCTTTGAAAGTCGCGCTGCGGTGAACGCACCACCGACCCCAGCACCAATAATCGCCACGGTTGGTTGCTTAGCATATGTTAATCCACTGCAGACTGCAATGAACACCAACGCTACTTCGATTATTCGGTGGTTCCCGGGAACGGCATGCGCGGCTTTCATTAGCACGGTTGGTCGGGCCAACGGTAAACAGCTATACTTTTGGACGGTGGAGCGCACTTGCAGATAGTTTAAGGTGCAGCTTGGGCTGCCAATGGTGTGTCAAAACGTCGGCAAATCACCTAGCTACGACAGATGCCGAGGCCAGGCAGGCAAAGAAACATGCCCCGGTACCAACCTGAAGCCTAGAACTTATACTACAGGAATAACAGTTTGTGGATTACATTTGAGCGTGCGCTCGGAGGGTATCCTTACTTGCAACATACAGCGGTTAGGATATGTTAGGACATGTCCTCGGATACCCCGGCTAGCTTACCAGGAATGTTCTGCCTAGATCCAGTATACCAGGCGGCATGCTACATTTGCTAATTAGGTGGCCATCCTCGCTGACGGAGTTGCTCGTATTGCTGGCTGCCGTACGATGACTAGGATGTTTTTGTTCTCATCGCTTTATATCCGCCGCAAGTCGCAGCGCATCTTATAGGCATCTCTTGCCCAGTAACGACGCTATAATCCACTTCCTTACGGGAACAAAAATGAGGACCGCAGCCAACAATGCGAGGCGCCTTGTTGCTGCCGCGCAGTTCTCCCCGCGTTGCGCAGTCAGCGAGTCGAACGTGGAGATCCCGAACGTCTTCATTGCTTCTGGAGGCCTGCAGGCCGCGCAGATGAGGGAGTTTTCTTCCCCGATGTTTAGGCCCCGCCCTTTCTCTGGGCCGTCATGGCAGCACGAGGCGGCGCGACAAGCTACTGCTAACCTCACCAGCACAACTTCAAGCCTTGCTGCCGCGGCAGCCTGGCAAGCCAGCGTCGTCAACGCTGAGTCGTCGCAGGTGGGTTGCATCCCCGTCAGATAGTATAGTCTACTTCCTTTTTCTCCCAGGTTCGCTTCTCGCATTATTAGGCCCCATCGCTTGTCTGTAAAGGCCACGGTACTAGCTGCAGGGCCCTTGGTGAACTTTTATATCTCTGCAGTTGGTGGAAGTTCCTTTTTCATGCCGGCACCGTCAGCTTCCACGGATATGGCAATAAGAAGCACTGCATTTTGCCAAGATCTTACGCCTCCTACATCATCAAACATTGCGCTTTTACATCGGTCGCAGGTCGAGGATTGGCTCGCTGCGCTCCACCAGATTGACTCCGAAGCTCGAGGCCTTTGCTCTGGTCTCCTTTCGCGCAATCCAACTCTCCTGTGGAAGGATCCCACGCGCACCGCTGGCGTGGTACAGGCTATCGTAGATGCCATTCGCCAGAAGCACCTGCTGCGCCCTTACTTCATGCAGGACGCTCACGTGCTTGCGCTTGCTGACAGGTAAGGATACTCCCAGCTATTGGGCCTAAGGAAGGCCGTGTCTATGAGCTACTAGGGGATGTGCGCTCGTAGATGGTGGACCTCTCACAGTGCGGGGGTTGCTGGGATTAAGGTTAACCATTGTGTAGGGCCTCATTTGGATACCAACTTTGCCTCCTACCTCGACAGGTACACGCCAGAGGGCTTACGCGCACGGCTGTCCGAGCTCCACCGCCTCGTTTGGCAGAAGCTCGATGACGCCGACGTCACCAGCCTCTTCGCTTCACGCACATCCCTGGACATGCTCGACCTGGACGCCAAGGCTCTGGCTCTCAAGGCCCAGGCCCTCCGCGCTCTCGTCCCCGAGTTCCTGCCTTCCACGATTCTGCGCAGCTGCCCAGAGCTGCTGGATGTGCAGGTGGACGACCTCCCCAGCCATGTGCGCCGGGCCGGTGACACAGTCATCCTGGGTGCCAACGTCCATGTCCAGCTCAGCAACAACATGGTCACTGTTCGCACCAAGGTGCTGCCCAAACCCTCTCCTACCGCCCAGACGACCAGCTCTGCAGCCTCCACGGTAGGCACTGCCATCGCCGGCCGTCTGCTGCGCACCGCTCGCTGCGGGGCGCAGCAGCTGCTTAAGGAACACGACAACGCTGTCGGCACCACGCGCGAAGTGGTACGGGAGTTTTCCAACGGGAGGCAGCTCATCTACGCGGCCGGTGAGCAAGTCGAGATCCGGTTTGACGACCCAGATAAGGCCCAGGAGGCTACCGGCGCCTCCTGCAGGATGACTGCACCGCAAAGCCTGGCTACAGCTGCAAAGGCCACCGCAGGTTACGCATAAACGCCTATTAGGATGTGGGCGCTTAGTTGCATATATACAGGATGCAACGCGCTTCTGCATCAAGTTTTGCTATTATTTCTAGCTGCTTTTCCGCTGCAGTATGGCTGCATGCAACATCTGGTTAGTCTTGGTTGCTGCTGGCGATTCGCAGGCCTATGACCCTGGCCGTTTGAGGTTACTAGGGCATGTTTGATTGCAATGCTCATCTTGCTCGGAGCAGACTCCCCGACTGCTTCGAACCGGTATCTACCTAACTTGCGCATGTGTATGCGTTGCTTCCTAAATTGTGGTCTGGCGCAACGAGTGGCTTTCAACCAGCAGGTTTGAAGTCCTATAGTACAACGCTCCATGCACAAATGGGGCCATGAGGGCCCTGAAATATGAGCGTGTAGGGATTGGGAAGGATGTACGAGGGAAACCAGCGCGGCGTTATGAGAGCGGCTAGCCCCCTCGCCTTGTGGCTGCATGCACACGACTTTTATCGTATGCCATAACTCGCTGGCATGCTTTCCTAGTGAGCTTCCTTTGTTGCTGTTGGAAAATACACTGGCTTCTGTGAGGTCGGCACATAGACATGCTGAGTTCTGAAGTGCAGTGCCTGGCACCAACCCAGGCGCCTTGGTCTGTGCTCGCAGTCATAGCTTCTGTCCGCGGCTTCATGTGTAGTGCGGTGGTGCTACATAACATACATATTAGCGCGCGAGTTGGTGTGTCTGGCTGTTGCCTGTTGCAGTTCCGCGCTGGCTTTGATGTTTACGAAATTGAGCTCCAGTTGGCCCCAAGTTGTATAAATTCGGTTGGAACCCTCGGTTTGGTGAAGCTTGTATTTCTTTCCGTTCGGCTCGTACATTCGAGGTAACGTGTACCCTGAACTGTAGTTACCTTGAGAGCCGCTCTTCACCAACACCCTAGCATGATGCGTTCAGCTTGTATTCGGTTGTACAATAATGTGGTCGGTCGCTTCGTAATTGTAGCTGGGATGAAGGTGGAGATGTAGCTGGATTAGTACGGGCTGTTCTTGCGTTAGGATGTACCTGAGCACGCACAACGTGTTGATATGCGCGAGACCGGTTGTCATTATGTTGTGTGTTGCCACTCTTCTTTCCAATGGTTCGTACCAAGAATCGACAATATAATGGTTCTCTTAAAGCAATGTTGCCACGGTGTTCCCGACGGAGCCGTTGTAGTACCCAATGTACATCTTTGTACAGCTTAAGATGTTTCTTTGCTAATGCTTCGAATATTATGACGTTTTTGCGGCTGCCTAGCTTCATCAAAACGTGTTGCCCACGGTTGTTTGGTTGCGCTGAAAGGTAAACCATGTAATAAATTACACATTGTCACGTAGCCATTCAGCCTTCCAACAGTGGGGTGACCCATGGGTCAGTTTTAATGCTGTAGGGCAACTTTCTCACGTGGATCAGGTTCTCGAAGTAAACACCACCATACAGGCAGAAATTAATAATGGTTACAAGACGCAGGACACCCGCTACACAATGGAGAACACATAGATGTGTTACAAAGCTTACAAATACCGACTTCTTACAAAGGTGACACATACCGAGTATGGTCGTGTATGTAGAACACTCTATAACTCTCCTGTACCTTCGCGGTGCGGGTGCCTCCAAACACAGCACCGCTTCTAGGACGCCGCATGCAAACAAAAAATAACCCTGCCACGATCACACCCTTACCGCACGCTAAACAGGTGAACGGCGGCTTAGCTAATCGGGCATTGCTTTGCTGCACACCAATATGGGCTGGGAACACAACTGTACGGCTAATCCTACAACCAACACAACTATACTTCGCAATCCAAAGCATCCCCGGGAAGTGCCGAGTGAGTAACTGCAGGAGCCACATCTCGTACACGACCCCAGCCGCGTCCTCTGTACTCCACGTGCTGCAAGCAGCCTTATACACGGTTCTTTGCACACACCTTTGCCTTATTCACATCTTACTACGTCGCCGTTTATGCAATTTCCTGTACACGCCTTATGTGCCGCCGCCGTCATCGCCAAACGACTTCCTTCCAACCATCCTGCTCATGCATCAACTACAACCGCATGCCTGTCCCCCATGCCAGTCCCCTCCAGGTCCGCTGTTGCCACCCCGCGTTTTACTTGCTCTGGGCGGCCTTGATGGCTGCCTGCGCCGCCGCTAGCCTGGCAATGGGAACCCGCAGGGGCGAGCAGGACACGTAGTCCAGACCCACCTGCGGGGGTAGGAGGAGGGAGGGAGGCAGGGAGAGGGTAGCAAACTCCTTGAGGGCAGGTACATCGCCGCATATATACACCGAAAGCACGGCATGCGGAATGAACCTAATTCCGGCTCGCTGCAGCTTAAGAATAACCACTATCCTCATCATTGCCTCGAGCATTCGTCCACAGCCACACCAACCCACACCACACCTTTTACCCCACTTCAACCATACATATACCCCACCTGGTTGAAGAAGGCAATGGAGTTGGGGTCGCCTCCGTGCTCCCCGCAGATGCCGAGCTCCAGGGAGGGCTTGGCGGCGCGGCCCCGCTCCACCGCGATGCGCACCATTTCACCCACCCCTATCGTGTCCAGGGTGTCGAAGGGGTCGCTCTGCAGGATGCCCAGCCGCGTGTAGTGGGACAGGAACTTGGCCTGCGCGTCGTCGCGGCTGATGCCGAAGCTGCGGGCGGGCGATCGGGCAGGCAGGCGGCGGTTTGGGTGGTATCAGGAAGCTACCGGTATTTTGTTACGCGGAAAGGCCATATTTGGACAAAGCGATGTTGGGAAAGGAGGAGCGGTAGAAAAGAGGGGAGCATGGAGGCAAGTACGCAGCCAGGGTGTGGGCAGAGCATGCATGTACGGCACTACTTACGTCATCTGGGTGAGGTCGTTGGTGCCGAAGGAGAAGAACTCGGCTCGCTCTGCCAGGTGTCCCGCCTGCAGGGCGGCTCGGGGTATCTCGATCATGGCGCCCACCCTGTACGGCACTGCATGATGGTGGTTGGGAAGGGGTGGGGGTAAAGAAGGAGAAAGAAGGAGAAACCATGGGAAAGGGCGGCGTGAAAGGATGCAAACCAGGTGAGCAGCAGCAACAGTGCCACGCGTATCGCCTGTTTGATAGCTCAAAGGTTTAGCCGCAACATTTGTGCGAAAGCCGGTAGTGGACCCATATACCGGTACGCCTCTTGTGCACCCGTCTCTCTTCCCAATCGACCTCCTCGCTCCTCACCCTTTTGTCCCGAGCTCTGCTCCACCTTTGCCGCCGCTGCATGGATGATGGCCGTTTGGTGGTCCAACTCCTCTGTGGTGGCCACCTGCGCGCGGCATGTGAGCAGCGTACCCGTAAGTAGTTAAATAAGAGGCACAGAACTGTATGTTAACCGGCGATCACGCCGCAAAATCAGCAATCAGAACGAGGTCAACGCTCGACAGCATTACAGGCAGCAACCCTGCAAGTAAGGTCAGCTTCATTATGCGCGCCTTGGTGCTACTGCACAGCCAATTAATGGAAGTATTCCTACTACCGATAGCCCCCACTCCCCAGCCACCGGTTCACCGATTCAGCCCTACCCCACACACCCCACTCCCCGCCCACCACCCACCAGCGGCACCATGATGTGCGGGTTCACCCGGCATCCCGCCGCCGCCACCGCCGCCGCCGCCTCGAAGATCGCGGTCGCCTGCATTTCCGTGATCTCGGGGTGTACGACACCCAACCGGCAGCCCCGCAGGCCCATCATGGGGTTCACCTCGCGCAGCCCGTTAAGCCGCGCCTCCACCCGCTCCAGGGGGGCATCCAGCTCGGCTGCGAGTGTACGGCAGAGGGCCACCATGGCGGGCCCTTCTTGGGGCAGGAACTCGTGGAGCGGCGGGTCGAGGAGACGGATGGTGACCGGCAGGCCGTCCATGACCCTGTGTGAGGGAGCAAAGAAGCAGGAGGTGGTAGGAGCGTATGGAGCAACTGGGTATACATGACCGCCTAATTAAGCTGTCTCCTGCAGGACACGCATGCGTCTGACGTGGTGTGAAGCGATGACCCAAAGGCGCATGAAGCGGTAGGAAAAGGTTCGAAGGCGACCCACGGGTCACAAGTAGACTCAGGCTTACTTGAAGATGCCCTCAAAGTCCTGCCGCTGGTACTTCTTGAGTTCCTGCAGCGCCTCCGCCTTGTGGTTGCTGGACAGCTCCTCCTCCGCGATCATGCGGCGAACCTGTCGTGATGCCATGTAACAATGGGCACATGCATGGCATGACAACGCAGCATGAGTCTCGTTACCGGTACTTCGTACTTGACGGGCCCACGTCCTCTCCGCTCTACCCTGCTCTGCGCCCGTTAGTCACACCAGCACCACGCCGCAGGCCCCTGTTCCCGGTCCTCCCTTTTCTTACCGCTGCTATGCGTTCGTGGGTGGAGAAGAACATGTGCTCGGTACGGCACAGCCCGATGCCCTGCGCGCCGTTGGTCCGTGCCACCAGGGCGTCCTCCGGTGTGTCGGCGTTGGTCAGCACACGCAGCCGCCGGGCCGCATCAACCCATCTGGCGGCCATCCAGGAAGAGGGCGCACAGGACAAAGACAAATAAGGATGGGGAAAGGAGTTAAGCCATTGTAGATGCGCGTGGGAGGCAACGGACAAGGTAATCCTCTTCAATAGAGCTGAGAAGCAAGGGTCGCAGCACGCAATAGAGACAGCTTTAACCAGCTCAATTGTCGGAGACCAACCAACAGACCCATGGGTCAGCTGCTGGGAGAACACTCACCCCATGAACTTTCCCAGGTCTCCGCCGGTGACCTCGGCCTTCTTGAGCGGCTGGCGGCCCCGGATTACCTCCCCGGTGGTGCCATTGAGGCTCACCCAGTCGCCCTCGCGCAGGTGAGCCTCGCCGCCCTCCGACACGTAGGTCAGCACCTGCGGAGGAGGTGGGCGAGTTGGGCGGGTGATGCGGTTATAACGGTGGATATAGAGCATTCGAATCAAAGAAAGCACACGAAGCGCACCGCTTCTTAAAGCCGCATGGATGTACGCACGTGCACATGACGCATCGCGGTAGCACCCAACCCCAACTTCACCAACGTTCCTTCCCAGGCGCTTCCTCGCTCCTCACCCCATGCAAGCCCCCCCCCCACCGCTCCGCAACCAAACACAATCAAACACCACCACCAAACACAGCCCACCTTGTGCTTCAGGTCCACCTGCAGCTTCTCACAGCCGCAGATGCATGGCTTGCCCCAGCCGCGCGCCACCACCGCCGCATGGCTCGTCATGCCGCCCCGACACGTCACAATCCCCTCCGCCACATGCATGCCTCCCACATCCTCCGGCGACGTCTCATGCCGACACAGCACCACCCGCTCTCCACGCGCATGCCACTCCTCCGCATCTGCGGCCGAGAACACCAACCTCCCCACGGCGGCGCCCGGTGAGGCCGCCAGGCCGCGCGTGATGACGTCAGCGCCGTACTTCTTCTCGTCCTCGAACTGCGGGTGTAGCAGTTGATCCAGGTGACGCGGCTCCACCATGAGAACGGACTCGTCTTGGGTGATAAGGCCCTCGGATGCGAGATCCAGTGCGATGCGAAGTGCGGCGGTGCCGGTGCGTTTGCCGTTGCGGCACTGCAGCATGAACAGCCGGCCTTGCTGCACCGTGAACTCCACATCCTGCAGGGGAGAGGAGAGCAGAGATGGAAGCGAGCGTGGAAAGGTGGAAGAGGGTTGGCTGAAGGGACAGGAGTGAAGGTGAGGTAGGTTTGCAGGAAACAGGATACGGGAATGTACGGATTCAGCACAACGGTAGCAGCCTCGATCGGCAACAGCAGCATGCATGCGTACCAGCCTTGCAGCTTGTCGCGTTGAATGCCGTCCGATACCGGTAGTTTCCGTACGCATGTTAAACCCCATTCACCAAGTACGCATTCGCTCCGCTGCCTCCCCTCATTCCTACCTCCCCCCACCCCACCTGCATGTCCTTCATGTGTCGCTCCAGCATGGTGGTGTTTGCCAGCAGCTCCGCATGAATGTCCGGCATCACATCGGCCAGCAGCTGGATGGGCAAGGGCGTACGGATGCCCGCCACCACATCCTCCCCCTGCGCGTTGATCAGGAACTCGCCGAACAGCTCGGGGGCGCCCGTGGCGGGGTTGCGTGTGAAACACACGCCCGTGCCGCTGCTGTCGCCCATGTTGCCGTACACCATGGTCTGAAGGGCAGGTGGAGGTGTGGGGTGCAGGGAGGGGAGGAGAAGGGATTGTGGTACCTGGTACGTCTTCCCGAGGGATTGTAACGGCAGAGGTGAAGGAGAGGAGGAAGTGGCTGATGGTAGTATGCGAAACTATGGTAGCGCAGTGGATGGCGCAGGGGATACCGATATGGAGGTACGCGTGGTGTGTTTTTGCACGCTCCGCAGCACAGCAGCCCCCGGCGGGATGCCCTGCTCCTCCCGCCCCCTCCCACCTGCACGTTGACCGCGGTGCCCTTGAGTCCGGTGATCTTGTTGATCTCGCGGTACTTGATGGCTCGGGGGATGTTCCAGGACCTGGTGACAGAGGAGGGATGAGAGGATGAAATGCGAGGATGAGATTACCGGTAACAGAAGAGCAGCAGCAGCGCATGGGCGTGGATGACAGCTCGCGACGTACGCACCGGCCACACCGCATACGCAGCCTACACCACCACACTCCCACCGCACGCCCGCACGCCGCACGCCCGCACGCCCCAAGCAACCCGCACCATGCATGGCTAGCTCTTATGCATGGCTATTGGTACCTTCCGCGGGAAGCCGCCCGCTTACTCACTTGAAGACCGCGTTGATGCCCATGAAGAGCTGCTCCCAGGGGTCCTGGGGCAGCACCTGGCCCAGCTCGGAATACACCTGGAGGGTGGAGGAGAGGTGTGGGGCCCAGCGGCCGGCGCGGATTGGATACGGTAACTGCGGACGCTTGCAGTTAGCTGGTAAGCGATGCCGTACCTGCTTGTACTGCTCCACCAGCTTCCTGAGGTCGTGCTCGTCCAGTTGTACGTCGTACTGCACCCCGCGGGCCTTCTTGAGCGCCGCCAGCCGCGACTCGAAGGCCTCGTGCGGGATGCCGAGCACCACGTCCCCGAACATCTGGAGCAGGCGTCTGACGGTGGACCATAGGACGGGGGGAGGTTTGAGGGCGGGGGAAGGCGGGGGAGTGGTGAGCAGGCAAGCAAGGAGAGGTGAGAGGAAGGGCGGGGCGGCCGGGTTCCAAGAAGCAAGATGCAGATAAGCAACAGAAAGTATAGGCAGAAAGAGCTACGTCGGACAAGAGAAGACTCGACGAGGAAGGCTCCTCCTCTCCTTCCTCCCCCCTCCTGCCCGCCCGGCCCACCTGTAGCAGTCCAGGGCGAAGCGCTCCCCGTGTCGCGTCGCAAAGCCCTCCAGGACCGCATCATTGAGACCCAGGTTGAGGACCGTGTCCATCATACCCGGCATGGACACCTTGCACAAGGGGGCGGGGGCGCAGGGGCGGGGGAGGCAGCGGGGGCGGATGAAGGGCAGCAGCAACATCGACAGGCAACAGCTGATCTGACCGTCCGGCCCCTGGAATGCGAAGGAAAGAGCGGCTACGAGCTATAAGGGTGCAACGCGAGCGGGAGGGGTGAGCAGGAGGGGCTGAGCCAGTCACGGCTCACCGCGGCTCCCGAGCGCACGGAGAACAGCAGCGGAGCAGCCGGGTCGCCGAACTTGAGTCCCATCTCGGCTTCCACTCCTTCCACGGTGGTGCGAACCTCCGCCAGCAGGTCCTTGGGCAGCTGCCCGCCTGCAGGCAGCAGGGGCAGGGGCAGGGGCAGGGGCAGTGGTGGAAGGAAGGAGGGAAGGAAGGAGGCGGGTGGACCGGTGAGCGTGCGCGTGCTGCGTGGACATGCTGGTATTGTGAGGGCAGTCGGCGCGTGTGGTAGTTGGGAGATGTACGAGTCCGTCCTGCTGGCGTCAAGAGCCGTACATGCGTTACGTGAAGTGGCATATCCACCGTCAAGGCAAGGCAAATTGGGCCCATTGCAAGGACCAGTGAGGTGCAAAGTATCTTGGAATGACCGGGGTTCACGGAATGACTAGATGGGGGAGAGCTAGGGAGACGCCTTCCACGCACCGTAGCAGTAGAACTCCTCGCAGACTTCGGTTGTGATGGTGAAGCCGGGCGGCACGTTGAGACCGCACCGCGCCATCTCACACAGGTTAGCGCCCTTGCCACCAAGCTGCAGAGAGTCAAGAGAGACAACGGCAGGGTTTAGGGGATAGCGCAAAGCAAAAAGGTGATGCTAAGCAAGGTACCGGAAAGCGAGCGACGGAATCTCGCTTGCATGACGAAGTTTGGGGTCCAAGCTAATTGTTTAGAGGAGAAAACAGTAAGATAGTATTCAAGACTCTGGGCTACGATTCGCAGAGCGCAAAGCATTTCGAGACCATGCATGGCTTGCAACGCCCGGTCGACTTCCGGCGATTCCCTTGGCACAAGGTTGCCCAAGAGATGAAGTAATTCATTAAAAAGGCCTCGTGTATTAGCGGCCATCGCCCCTTTGTTTGACACGACGAGGGCAGGGGGCTCCATTCGGCGCGCATGGCCGACACATTAGCGCACGGTTCCTGCTTACCAGCTGCTTCATACTCTTGGTTCCATCGCTTTTGCCCTGACTAAAAGAATATATCCGCCGGATGGACGCCATCCTTGCGGGCGAGACGCCACCAGCTGACTAGTAGTGCCTACCTTGGCAGTTAATTCGATAGGGTTGCCGGGTCGGCCTAGAGCCTTTGGAATTCTGCGACTTCCCAAACTGAGGTATTTGTAATTGCGTTAATAGGATTACGTTGAATGTTGTGTCAGTTTGCAGGTGCCGGCAGCTTAAGAAGCATTTCACCTACAAATGGGGCTTATGCGGGAAGTACCGGAAGTACCACCGAGGTGCCTACAGCAGGCTTTCAAAATCTTACGGCATGACTGATTCCTGCGAGCCGTAACCTGCTGCTTCATCGCTTTTTCGTATGAATGCACCAGCACCAAGCAACCACCTCTTGCTCGGTGTCCTGCAAGCGCTGTCGTCCAAGGCCACTGGTGCTTTGGATTCCCAGCGATACATCTAAGATCTCTTCATCGCGCCGGCATCGTTTCTTCCACTCCCTGCCACTCGTGCGGTTAGGTCGTTCCGCTCTATAACATGACAAGGTTACGATAGCGCGTGGATAAGAAAGACATTAATACTAATAGGGATTCCGATGATCTTTTGGAGAGATCGGCGTCGAGCGGCGTCGTTTGTCATCCAGTCCCTAACCGTCGCCTCACGCCGAGATTAAAGAACAGCGTATCCGGTTCAGCGTGGGTGCCATATGCGCTCATTCACCGGCTCTGTTAATATGCCATTGAATCCCGTGCTTGAGATTGGCGTTGTGCGGGGGTTTAGCCGTAGCATGGACAGGAAACGGCCGCATGGGGCCTGTTCGGCCTGCGGAGGCGGAGTAAGCCGGCGCATGAGGGCGCTCTATGATACCCCAGCAGAAACCCCTTTCCCGGTGCTGTCAACCACATTGGAAGAACGGCACTCCCCGTGGACGTGTGCGACTTGTTGCCTAAGCCAAACCATGCCCTGGGACCTGTCACAGAGCTTATGGCCAGGGTAATCGTTACCGTAAGCTTACACTAGCTAGTCGGCCAACCCGCTTGCCTGAGTATTGTTCCCTTGATGCTCCCCCCCACACACACAAAAGCTAATGGCCCGCTAGCACGTCGTGGCCATAACGCTAGGGCAGACACGGAGAGCCGCCCCCAAAAAGAAAAGAACGCCCTTGGCGCGCAAAATCGTCACTGTGATGCTGAACCTTTAACCTACAACACTCTGTTATAGCCACCGTCTTGCCCAGACCTCGCCATCTTAGTCGCCGTCCGAATACTTCGAGAATGCACCACACAGTCAAACTTCCACAGCAAACCACCCACCCACCTACCTACCTACCTCCGTCACCTACCCTCGGACATAATCCAAAACAAGTTTCCCCTAACTCCTCCGCACCCTCCCATGCCCCCTCACTCGCACGCGCATTATTACGCGGACCCAAAAAAGTCCTCTTTGTCCCTTCCGTTATCACAGTCCCCCGCATCCCTCGCCTCGCAGTCCCTACCCCGCTCGACCGCCTCTACGTCTGCCGCCCTATTCAAACAGCAGCCCAGCCACCGAGGTGCCACGTGAAGCCACCCCTAGGGAGCACGCACTGCCCCGTGCCCGTGCGCTAAAACAGGACGTTCCCTAGACCAGAGAGACGCCGTCCAAGCGCCTCCCTTCCAGTCTCAGCAGGGCAGCCAAAGGGCAAGCGGCAGGCGGTAGTGTTGGGCGCTGCTTGCAGCCCTTACCGCTTCATCTGCTGCTGCTGCTCCTGCACCTTCCGCATCTCCTGCTGGAACTCTTGTCGGAGCTGGGAAAGGGGGCAAGAAAGGAGGAGGGAGGGAGAGCTGCTGTTACGGAGGCGGTCCCGGGTGAGAGACAAGGAGGAGCGGACTGAGGAGGAGGGCAGTGAGGCGGTGGGTTGATAAATGCCCTGGTTCTGGGTGCAAAGTTATGGAGGAATGAGGGAGGGTCGATTGCTGCAATACGGTACGTGCAGGGGTGCCCTTCGCTTTCCATAGCTGCTACGCGAAGCTCGGCACTGTTGCCACGTTGCCTGTCCTATCACGCCCTACCTGAGCTGACTTCTGCTTAGCCAAGTCGACGAAGTTGGTAACCTGTGGGGTTGGTATTATAGACCACGTAAGCGCCGAGTTTAGCGATAGCGACATCGGAAGCAACAGGTTCTCAGACCCACGTGTGTGTCGAGGTTCGCCGACTGGTCCTTGCTTTTTGACTGAAGCTCCTTCATCGCGCCATGTGACCATACAGCAAAGCGCTGGAACCAGCGACTGCGTTGGCGGCGGTCGAGGCGTCAATCATCACTACAATAATCCGCCAGCCAAGACTCCGCTCCTGCCCAGGCCTACCTGTTCGCTAGTCCCTCTACCAACACCTGGTTCAGAAGGTGGTCGATTAGGCGCCGCACAAACATTCTTACTTCTCTGAAGCTCTAGAAGCACCCGAGGTGTAAAGGAAGACAGCACTTCAAGGCGCCTTCAGCCTAATAGAGGAACTCCCTATGTATTACTGTAATACAAGAAGTGCTCACTCTTGACCTTCCAAACAGACGTGTCGTCCTGCTGGTACTACATCTGTTACAAGCATAATCCTTCTCCAATCCTGCAGTTTCTGCCTCAGGATCATCAAACCATAGCAGTCATTTTCTAGATCGCATTAACATGACGCTTATGCGACTCTCCGAAGAACTTTAGTACACAAGCAAATGAGCATGCGACTGTTGACGACCAAACCACAACCCATACAATGGACCAACTAGTATAGGGCCTATAAACACTACGCCACCGATGGCTTCCACTAAGAAGTCGGTACAATTGCCGGAGGAGGGTGAACTGAGCAAAGAGCCGTCCCTGTCGTTTATACCAGGATCTGGAACACCCAGTTCAGTCAGTGGCCTATCCCGAATAGCTCTCCATGATGCTTCGGCAAACCATGTCTCCATTTGGCGTGACCCCGACTACCGCGGCGAGCGCGTGACAGAAGCCCCCTCGTCCTCCGCGGCCACTGCAAGGCCGCATCAGTATGTCCAAAGGCGTCGGCAGTTGCATACACAGCCGGAAGCGGCGGTGCCGGGCCGAAAAGGCCCAAGCAACTGTGAGTTCGTTATGGGCGCTCCAGTAGGGCGTTTGGGGCCGTGGTTACTGTCTGTGTGCTACCCAGTAACGGCACGGCACGGACCGGGGTGTGCGTTAACGGCGGAATCGTCTGACGCTGACACGCAAGCATCTCAGGGGTTTGTTTTAGGGTGTTGTCAGCAGCCCGTAAGCAGTCTTGTGCAAGTATAGCTGCCCACCGCTTAGGCCAGCCCGCTGCTTAGTCCTGTCCTCCAATTCCCTCCCACCACACACCACCGACCACCGGATCCAATACCCCCAGCCCTTGCCCACCCTCTGCCATCCTCCACCAACCTCTGACCCGTCGTCTGCTGCCCCCTCACTTTCCCACTCTCCTCCTCCAGTTACCCGGTTCCCAGACATCTATGCCAAAGCCAACCAACCCACCGCGCCGCCAAACAATGCCACCCAGCGCCCTTTCCGTACCACCAGCAGCAGCCCCACCCGCCGCAGCAGCCTGGGCGGCGCTGCGCCTTTCATCGCCGGCGCCACCGTCGCAGGTCCCATTTCCGCCGCCTGCGGCAACGGCACGTCAGCCGGCCCGAATAAGGGCCACCTGACAAACACCGCCGCCGCTGCCGCCGCCATTTTCGCCATGGCTGGCGGTAGCACCCTCACCGCCGCCAGCATCGCATACAATGCATGCGGCGGCGCCATAAACCCCCTGCCTGACATGGCACGGCCCGCAGCCGCCGGCGGTGGCGGTGGAGGTACCGTCAGTGGAGCGGTGTCGGCTGACGGTGTAGCTGCCGGCGGCGCAGCCGGCAGTGCTGCTGCGGCTCAGCAGCAGCAACAGCAGCCGCCCTCGCAGCAGCGGGTCCTGCAGTCGCAGAACAGCGGTCTGACGGCCACCTCAGCAGCCGCCGCCACTGCTGGCGAGGGCGCCCCCGGAGGCAGCGGCGGGGCGGAGGATGAGCTGGGAGCGCTGAAGCTGCAGGCGGACGACGTGTTGGGGGACAACGAGCGGCTGCGCAGCCGGCTGGTCAGCCTGCCTAACATCGTGTGTCGCAGCGCCAATGGGGACGTGTTTTTGGTGGAGCTGGGGTGAGTGGTGGGGGTTGGGAGCGTTGTAGGGGTTGCGGTGGGGGTTGGGAGCGTCGGCTCGGAGCGGGGCAAAGGAGGGCGGAGGGGGCATGTGTGCATGGCTACGGGGCAGTGCGGCGTCCGAGGCTGGGTAGAGGCGTGAGCACTAGGGTTGTCCTGAGGAGAGCTATCAACTGCATCCATGTACTTTCATATTGTCCCCTCGCTTGGCCCCTCCGCTGCGTGTTGCGGTTCCACAGGCACGTCCAGGCCATGCTGCACAAGCGGGCGCTGGGAGAGGAGGGCGTGCAGCTGCTCGGGCGCATCACACCTCACAACCTCACCACCTCCCTCACCAAGCTTAGCGGCGGCAGCGGCGGCGGCACCAGCCCCACCCGTGGCGCCCTCATTTCCGCGCGTGTGCGACGGCACCGCCGCAGCAGCCGTCGTGCTGCCGGCCAAGCTGCCGACGGCGAGGACCCCTCCCAGGGCGTCTCTCCCCGCATCACACGCAGTGCCTCCATGATCGCGGGCCGCGGCCGCAACAGCGGCGCAGCGGCGGGGGTCAACGGCGGCGGAGCCGCCGCCGCCGCGGCGGCAGCCGCGGCGGCTGGCGGCATCACCAGCGGCGGCGCTTCCGGCTCCGTCGATCCCTGGCTTGAGGAGGAGCTCCGACAGCATCTGGCGGCAACGGATGCGCTGGTGGAGGAGCGGCGGCGGCAGCTGCAGGCCAACTGGCGGGCGGGTCGTACGACGGGGGTGTCGCCGGCGGTGGTGGCGCGGGAGGCGGAGGAGGCGAAGCGGGCGGCGGCGATTGAGTTCGCGGTGAAGTCGTTCGTGCCGCGGCGGTTGGCGCTCATGGCGCTGCACATGCATGCGTCGCGGGTTGGGGATGATGTGGAGGAGGAGGAGGAGGGTGAGATAGGAGGGGGCAGGGGCGGGATGGGGAGGAGATGGTGGAGGGTGCGAATTTGCGCGCGGCATGACCTCTTTCCTTCGCCTCTTATCGCTCCTACGCTTATCTCCGAATCCTGTCAACTAACTAACAAACACACAACGCACCAACCCTGGTACGCCTCGCTTGCCACCCATTCCCCGCCCATTCCCCTCCCATGTGCTGCCATCATGATTAGCGTCCGCGGGGGCCAGCACGACAGACGGCAGTGCCACCAACGAGCCCGGCACGCGGCCGCCCACCACCACCGGCACTCCCGCCAGCGCCGGCAGCGCCACCGCTCCCGCCGCCTCCCCCCGCAAGGCGGCAGCAGCCAGCCCCGGCGGGGCGCCCCTGGCAGCCGCCGTCAAGAAGGGGCTACTGAAGGTTGGAGGAGGCGGGGGTGGAGGCGGGGGTGGTGCAGCGGCAGCAGCTGCGGGAGCTGGTGACAAACACAACAAGTGGAACAAGGTCCAGGTGAGGGTGGTGCTGACCAAGTGCTGTCCCGTCCAGACCCCGGTGCCGCAAGCAACCTTTACTGCATTCATCCCGATGGGTGCACCCCCGAGCACATTGTATGCCCAACTGCTATACACAAAGCACCCGTGTTCCCTTTTAGGGAACCATTGTCGGTCATTTATCTACAAAGCACCTCCTCCATACACCCCTGCCCACTATCCGTCTTGCAAACCCCAACGCAAAGGGTCCTGCGGCCCTCCTCCATGCAGCCCGGGCCCCGCTTCCCCTCCCCCTGCCCCTCCGGACTGGGACTCCGTTGATGCATTTATCTATACTTTTCCCCCCTGCCCCTCCCCATGACTGGTTGCCACTACAATACCGGTAACCGCCTTGGCTCCTTCAGTTACCCCTGCCTCTGCCTTCCTGCCCGCCTGCCCCCTCCTGCAGGTCGGCATGGACCGGCTGTACGACCGCATGCCCTTCATGAGCAACTGGATGGCAACCATCAAGAAGCTGCACCGGGAGGAGGGGGTGGGCTGGGACGAGCTGATACACGGGGGCGGGGACGACATGTACGTCAAGGGGAGAGAGGAGCACCAGGGAACAAGTGAGTGGGGGGGGGCGGAGGCGGCGGGGTGAAAGGGGCAAATAGGTACCCCGTAGTTGCACTAATGTTTTTACAAAATAATTAATTGTTTGGGACTTGTAAAACTTGTTCAGAAAAAATATCGCAGGGTTTGTAAAAACATTTATGTTGTCGTGAAAATTAGCGCGCGCGGGGTAAAAAGCTCAGTATACGAGTATAGCCTGTATTCTTTAGTTTTAGGATGGCTTACGGTGGAAAGGCTCTCCCTTGCGTTATACAAGCGGGGGGGGGGGTGAACGGCAGCCCTTATTGCTGCCATGCGTTTGCGTTCGGTATCGTTTGCATGGGTCAGGAACGTCGGGGGAAAGGCTCTCCCTTGCGTTATACAAGCGGGGGGGGGGGGTGAACGGCAGCCCCTATTGCTGCCATGCGTTTGCGTTCGGTATCATTTGCATGGGTCAGGAACGTCGGGGGAAAGGCTCTCCCTGTTATACAAGCGGGGGGGGGGGGTGAACGGCAGCCCCTATTGCTGCCATGCGTTTGCGTTCGGTATCATTTGCATGGGTCAGGAACGTCGGGGGAAAGGCTCTCCCTTGCGTTATACAAGCGGGAGGTGGACGAAAAAAACGCCGGTAAAAATTTCAAATGCCTGAGAAAATCCCGGCGCCTTTGGTAAAAAACATTCTGTTGTAAAAATTATTACAAAATTATTTTCGTCCGGTAAAATCTTTACAAAAGAAAAACATTAGTGCAACTACGGTAGGGCGCGGGTGTGGGGGAGCGGAGAGGCGGGTAGCGTGGGTGTGTTTTGCGTGGCGTGTTGGCTGCTCAGTGGTTCACTCTGCTTTGTGAGGGAGGGCGCCCTGGTGATTTAACTGCGGGGATTGTAATTTCGGACCGTACAGCCAGCTGTGTAAGTCACTTACCCTGATTGCTGCTGCTGGTGTATGCCTCCCGCCCGCCCGCCTGTCCCTCCCGCTCCCCACCCCCAGACATCTACGTGCTCAAGTGCCACGAGCTGGGCGTCACCCCCAGCACCCAGGTACTGCGTGTGACACCACCGTGCGTGGGCCCACTACCCGGAAACCAAGCTACCGGTACATGGGGCTTCCTTGCATAGCGGACATGCCAGCATTGCAAGTCAAGCAAGTCACCCCATCAGGCTTCACCTCCTTGTCCCCGTCCTCCTTCCCAATGGACTTGTTCTCTTGTTTGCCATCCTCATTCCACACATTGAGTATCATTCTTGCCCTCCCCTGCCCTCCCCCCCCCGCAGGTGGTTCAGCAGCTCTCCTCCGCGGACGCCAACATGTCGCACTGCAAGCTGGGCCGGCAGGGCGCAGCGGCGCTGCGGCACGCGCTGTCCGCCAACGTGACCATCACCCACCTCAACCTGCAGGACAACCACCTGGATGCGACGGTGAGGGGAGCGGGAGGGATGGATGGATGGTGGCGGTTGGGTGGGAGCCTTGGGAAGCCTACCGGTCCTCGAGAGGGTGGAGGTAGAGTCGGCGTGCTAAGGCTTCGGCTGCAGGGATTAAGATCTCTTTCCCCTTCCTGTTCCTTTCCCTGTGCCTTTTCCCCCCTCCCGCAGGCGATAGAAAACGTGCTAGCCGGGCTGTACAACGGCACCATGGCCAAGCAGCCGCGAGCCAGGAAGCTGCTGGAGAAGAGGTGCGGGGGGTGCTGGCGGTCAAAGACCCTACGAAACCATAGGAAACCACAGGTTGGGACAAAACAATGGGGAAGGGGGTGTGTTGCAGCGAGGTGTGTTGGCGGAGGGGGACACAACGCAGCACAAAGCATGGAACGTAACAAACCCCGAGACGCATGATGTGGCCTTCGCTCCTTCCCAACGCTGTCCGTTCCTGCTCTGCTCTCCCCGCCGCACAGGTCCTTAGCCGTGGTGCCCTCCCCCACCCGCACCCAGCCCAACTCCGACACGGAGGGGGCAGGTCCACTCACTACCGGCGGCGGCAGCCCCACTAGCGTCCCGCCCCCCCTGCCGCCGTTCGCCGCCTCCGCGGGAGGTGCCAGCAGCGGCGGCGGAGCCAGCAGCGGCACCACCAGTCCTCCTCGCTCCACACGCCGCGCGCCGCCGGGCGATCTGGCGATACGGCTCATCCCTCCGTCGTACACTCGGGAGCAGGAGCAGCGACGACTGGCGGAGGAGGAGCAGCGGCGGCGGGATGCAGCAGCGGCGGGAGTGGAGGGGGCGGAGGGGGCGGCGGGTGCAGGGGCGTCGCTGGGCGGGGCGGCGGACTCACCCGCTTGGATGCGGCTGGGGAACGAGTGAGTGGAGACGCGGTCGGTGTGGGTGCCGGAGTTCACACATTGTCGTCTTGCTTACGGATCAGCTTACGGATTGCACCATTGAAGGATTGTGGTGGTTCTTTCTTATCATCACCTCACCCCGCATGCCTTACCCCGTTCCTCCCCCGTTCCCGGGCACCCAACCCGCAGCCCCTCGCGCATCGCCTCTGTCAGCATGAGCCCCGGCCAAGCGCGGAGCAGCCTGGTGGGCGGCGCGCTAGCCCGCCCGGGTGACCCGGCGGGTCGGCTGCCGCGCATCTCGCCGCCACCCAACGCGCCCACCAACCGCCTCACCTGCTCCATCACCTCCCTGGACCTCTCCAACAACCCACTGGGGATCAACGGGGTGCGGGCGCTAGCAGACCTGCTGGACCCCACCGTCACTCCGTACCAGGTACGACAACAACAACTGCTGCTGCTGCTGCTGAGCCGTACGTACCGCTGGCATAACCTTCCTCCCGATCTTCAGCTATAGGCCGTGCTTTGTTCCTGCCGTCGCGCCTAATTCCGAAACCACACACATGCAATGCAAGTATACACACAAGCCGCTCGTAACCTGCCCCGTTAACCTGCCCCGTTGCAACACCAACAGCAACAACATCCTTCCTCCCCCCCCCCGCCCCCAACCTCCGCAGTTCGTGAAGCACCTGCTGCTCAACAAGTGCGGCATCCCCGAGGGCGGCGGCCGGGCGCTGGGCACCGCCCTGACGCGCGGCAACACCCGACTGGCGGTGCTGGGGCTGTCCAACAACTGCGTGGGCAACGGCACGGCGGCGGTGTTTGGGGAGGTGCTGGCGCTGCCCAGCGGGCTGGAGGAGCTGGACCTGAGCTGGAACCAGATCAAGGTGCGTGCGGATGATGGGTTGACACCTGCTGCTGTGTGCATGTGTGCATGCACGACATCACTGGCCCCTCCCTTGCCACGACATCGTTGGTCCCTTGCCGCCGCTCTCATTCCCCTTCCCAACGCATGGGCTTTGTTTCCTTCTTCCTCACCCCCTCTTCTCCATGATGACGTCTTATTACACGGTTCATTAGTTGTTTCCTTTCTTTCTCCCTCCTCCTCCTCCTGCTCCAGGCGGACGGTGCCCGGCTGCTTGCGGACGGTCTAGCCCAGAACAACACGCTCACTCGCCTCAACATCTCCTGGAACGGCCTGGAGAGCCCGGGCGTGGTGGCGCTGGGCGGCATGCTGGCCACCAACGACTCCCTCACCTGGCTGGACCTCACCAACACGCGCATGGGGGCGGAGGCGTGCCTCATGCTGGCGGAGGGAATCAAGGTGGGAGGCGGAGGTGGAGGGGCAGCGGGTGGTGAAGCCCCCACCCCCCTTGCGGGAACGCGGCACAGGCGCTGGTCTTTTGCCGTGTGTGCCCGCCCTCCAGCCTACTATGCTGTTAACATGTACCTCCTCTCGCCAGACATGCACCTCACGCACCTGCCCTCTTGTACCTCCCCCCCTGTCTGCACCCCCCCCCTCTATATATATTCTCATCATATATATTTTTTACCCCTCTCCCTTCAGAGCAACCGCACGCTGGAGGTGCTGGTGCTCAACGGCAACTCGGTGGGCGACGACGGCGCGCGCTACCTGATGGACGCACTCAAGACCAACACGGCGCTCAGATACCTGGGGCTGCAGGTGGGTGGTGGGCGGGTGGGGGGGGGGTTGGGCGAGTGGGGTAGGAAAAGGAGAGGAAGACCACCCGTTGCATGGGAAGGGGGCAGGCGCAGGACGCCCACTGTCACTTACTTCGACGCACATAGCAGTCGCAGTCACTCACTCTAGGAGCCATAAGCCCATAACCCTCCCACCCCCTTCCCCTCCCTCCCCCCCCCCCCCACAGGGCACCAACATGTCCACCGCCGCTCGCGGCCACGGCAGCACCGCCACCTTCAACCCGCTCTCCCCCGACGGCTCCTACCACCTCAACTTGGAGCTGCCCCCCGACCGCGCCGTGGCGCTGCAGCTGTGCGAGATGGACGCCAGCTCGCCCGCCGACCTGATGCGCAACATTCGGCTGGGTGACCGCAACATACCCTCCGCCAAGTCCATGCACTGGCCGGAGAGGTGGGTGGGGCGGGTGGGTGGGCTACATACCGGCTTTCCAGCTCATCCCGGTAGCCTTCCACCTGTAAGCTTGAGGGCTCATTAGCCCCTCACGGCTACTAACATATGTGTACCTCCTACCGACATATCCAACCATCCCTTTTCGTCTCCCTCTACCTGCGCTCCCCCCCGCGCAGTCTGCCCGTGTCGGGTGTGCTGAACTTCGACTTCGTGACGCGGCGCACCACCAAGGTGATGAGCGTGATGGAGGGCAAGATGTTCACCGCGCTGGCCTCGCAGTTCACGGCTGGCAACATGAGCGACAAGGAGAAGCTGGCGCTGGTGGAGGTAAGAGAGGGAGGGGGAGGGGGCGGGAGGGCGCGAGGTAGGATGATGCATGCGTGGACGCTGAAATGCCAATACTAACATCAGTGAACCCAATCTACCGTATACCCTGACGCTGGTTTGATGACTTCTGTGCTCCTCGTTGACCGCACTGCCTGTTTTTGCAACCTTCAATCCTACCCTAATACCCCCCACCTTCCCTGCCCCTTCCCTCCTTCCCGCGCACCCCACCCCCCGCCCTCCCAGGTCATGGCCCCCTTCAACTACATGTACTGCCAGCAGGCCGCGCAGCTGCTGCGCTGCTTCACCATCGGCGTGGAGATGGTGATGGCGGCCGCGCTGCTGTTCACGCGCTGCGCCGACCTGGACGACAACATCACGCTGCTCAGTGAGGCGCTGGCGGCGGACGCGAGCCAGGACTCGTTGCAGGACGTGCTGGGATGGTGGGTGGGGTTATGTTGTGTACTTGTGTTGTGCGTGCTACTCGGGTTGTGTTGTGTGTTGTGCCTGCTGCGCTCCCCCTCGGGATGCGGACCTTGAGGTGCTCTGGGATGCGTTGCGCCGGTGGCTGTGTTGTGTGTACTGTCACCCTGTCTCTGTGTTATAGGCTCCCCCACTGCACATCCCTTATTCCTCACCCTACCCCGCCACGCACCCCTTCCCTCCCCAGGTACTCCTACGTCCGCTTCACCAACCCCTCCGGCCACTACGAGCTCAATCTCTCCTCCCGCGTCAACCATGCGCTCGCCACGCGGCTCAAGGACGTGGCCTACTCCGAGCCCGCCGACTCCCTCAACTGGCTCAACGTCATCTACGACCTCTACACCAACGTGCCCACCAAGGTGCCCAACAACTTTGGGCCGCCCGAGGACTGGAAGGGCCTGGTACCCCATGTGGGCACGCTGTCGTTTGACTACGTGAGCGGCTGCCTGGCTCCACCCACAGCGCAGCCGGTGCCGGATGCGCTGCTGAACGACGTGTTGACGCAGGACGTGAGTGATTGGGGTGATTAGAGAGGTGCATGGTGGTGTGTTGGGAAGTAACAGTATGTAGCTGCAAGTAGGGGGCAGGGAGTGGGAGTGTATGTGCACGAAGAGGGCGAGGAAAGGTGGGTGCGTGTCGTGCTTTCGCGGGTTGTGCCTCGCCGGTAAGTCGTGTTCCTGCCATGCGCGTCTTCCTCGCCCCTGTTCCATCTGAGCGGCCCCCCTTCCTTTGAGCTCCTCCGCTGACCACCTACCCCTTCCCTCGCTCCACCTTCCCTCCCCCCCATGCATGCATGCACAGCTGGGAATCAGCCTGGACGGCAGCGGCGCGCCCCTCCCCGAGCGCGACCACTCCGCCGCCAGCCAGCAGCTCGCCCGCCTGCGCCCCATCGTGGCCAACATGGTGTTCAGCACGGCGCAGGTGAAGCGGCTGGTGGAGGCGTTCGAGGTGGGTGGAGGGGTGGAGGGGAAGGGGTGGAGGGGTGGAGGGGAAGGGGAAGACACGACGGGCTGTGAATCCGTTATGCGACAGGCTGGGGCAGGTTCTGTCTGGAAGTGTGTTTTGAGCGGACTTTAGGGGGTCGTTCTAGGGTTGACTCTGTCCCTTGCCTCCCTTCATCTCACTTCACTCACTTCTGTCTATATCATCACCGCCCACCCTCCTCCCGCCCTTCCCCCCCAGGCTCCCCCCCACCGCGTGGAGGTGCTGGTGACCTGCTACTGCCGCATCATGGACCGCAACAACCTGTGGAACATCCTGTACAGCCTCACCCCGCTGGAGCAGGCGCTGTCCATGTGGCGCCTGGGGCCGGCCAACCTGTTCGACAAGGGACACCCCACAGGTGGGGGGGGGGGCGTGTAGGGGTGTGTAGGTTCATGGCCACCGCCACCACTTGGGGTGTGCATGTTCAGTTCCTCTGCTTGGGTGGACGATGCGGTATGAACGTATGATGTGCTGTTCAGGTGCTGTTAATCTTTCTCTGAGATACGCGTTGTTGTATCATCCAAACAGCCGCACCTGCCAACGTCCACCCGCTGCCCCTCCCTGCGCCCCTCCACAGGCCACTACGTGCTGGACCTGTCCAACCCGCTGCACGAGTCCGTGGCGCGCAAGCTGGTGGACATGGCGCTCGCCTCGCCCGACCTGCCCAACTTCTGGAACCTGCGCATCAACGGCGTGCACCGCTCCGTGCACGAGAACCGCAACATGTGGGGCACCTTCACGGCGGAGACCGCCAGCCCCTTCATGGAGTTCGACTTCATTGGGCCGGATGGGTTCGACCTGCTGGGTCGGAGCAAGGCGGAGGTGGATGCGCTGGGCCCGGGTGAGTGAGAGGGGGATGGGAGACGGGCGGGGTGAGGGGGATGAGGGCCGTGGGCGGTTTGGGGGATGCTGGCATAACCCTGTCATGCCTGCTTCGGGCTGCGTAATCCCTCCATGTTGCTGGGTGTCTGTCAGCCCAAAGACATTGCACAGCATCCAGGGTGGACGCACCTCACCCTCTCTCCCTGCTGTATGTTGTCGCTCTCCTGCCGTTCCTGCCTCGTCTGCAGGCGACCGTCTGGACCTGCGCACCAAGCAGGCCCGCCGCATGGAGCTCTCGCGCGTCAAGACCATGTACGCCTATTATGAGGACGGCAGCGGCTGGCAGCGGCCGCCCTGGCAGAGCCGCCAGCTGCTGATGCGGCCGCTGGCGGACAAGGCACCCTGGCAGGCGGCCTGGGACCGCATGGCCCGCACGCTGCTCAGGTGGGGTTGTGCGGCTGTGCCGGCTGTGTGAGGACCGCCCAGCAGACCTCAGTGTTAGCCGAGCTGCCAGCTGAACGCCCTAAGCTTTACAATTCGCAGCATCAGCAGCAACCTTTGTCCTTTTTTCCTGTTGCGAATGGTACCGTATAAGTATCGGTAGAGCTCTGTATTACGTACCTCACCTCCCTTCATCTGATCATCACCTCGCCCCGCCTGCACCTCCTCCTCCTCCACCTCTTGCTGCAGGAACGACCTGCGCTGCGGCGGCATGGAGGGTGACAGCCCCCTGGAAGACATATTCTTCAACCAGACAGGCGGCGAAGACGCCATGACCGCCGAGCAGTGGGAGGCGCTGCTGCGAGACTGGGGCTACGGCCGCCTCGAGGTCAACTACATGGCAGAGGCCTTCGAGACGGCCGGCCGGCCCGCCACCGTGGACGACGGCCCCTCCTACAAGCCCTACCATGTCAAGCACTCCGAGCCCAACCTGACCCTAAGCACCCCGGGATCCGACGCGGCTTCCACAACCACCACACCCACGTCAGCTGCCAATACAACCACCACCTCTGCGGCTGCGACCCCGGGAACTGGCGGCACCACACCCTCCAGCCGACTCAACGCAAGCCGGCAGTCGCAGGCGGGGGGCTCGGAGTTCTCCACACCCACCAAGCCCTCGGGGCCGCAGCAATCGCAGTCACGTGGCAAGGGCGGCGGGGCGCATGTGGTTGTGGACGTGCCGCCGGCGCAGCTGGTGCCGAACACGGTGGTGGAGTTCCCGGCGTTTGTGGGGCTGTTCATGCAGGAGCCGCCGCGGGCGTTACGGAACTTGAATGCGACGGCTGCGGCGGGGGTGGCGGGGGTGGTGGTGTCCATGCGGTCGAGGCGTGGGAAGGGGCGGTAGGGCTTGAGGAGCTAGCATGTGTGAAGTAATAGGAAGTACGAGGGTAGTGGTGTAGGGGGTTGCAAGGTTGTTGCAGCTGAGGTGGATTGCAGGTGGTTGGATGGCGGCAGGGTTGGGTGACGGTTGGGGGTTGTGGCTGAGGAAGGGAGGGGAGAGTGCAGAGTGCATGTAGACGTAGAAAGGAAAGGATGCAGGGTTGTGTGGTTGGAGGTGGTGTTGGGTTGGCTAGGGTTAGCTAGCAGGACGGCATGGTGGAACATGTTGACGGTGGGTACATATGAGCACATGGAGTAGACGGGACTTGCCGGTTAGCTACTGTCTAAAAGGCAAGGATGGCGGACGGACCTCGGCTCAAGCTCGAATAGGGCGTGCGATCAGATGTGAAGCTGGTACCGGGCTAGATGTCCTCTTATTTCAGTTGGCGCCTAGTTTAGGCGCTGTATGATACTGTATTGTAGGATTTGGTGTCTTGCTCTCGCTTGCACAACCTTGCATGGTGGTAGTATTGCGCTGTATGTGCATGGCAGATTGCTATTGTGTCTTATGGACACGTGACTGGGCTGAAACTGAATGCCCAAACAAGCGTACATGCTGCACAGTTAGCTGCATTAGTACGGTAGTCGCCTTTTCGCTACTGGAAACGCACCATCGTCCCTGTGATAAGTTGTGTGAGTGCACCCCAATCACCACACGGGCGTTCTTTCACACCTGAGCTGTTGTGTCCAAACTGTTGCCGCCACAAGCAGCTCTTATAGCATGTAACCAAGTTAAATCCTGATTCATGCATGCTGGTGATGGGTTGGTTCAGGGAGACCGGAATCCTATCTATGCCGTAACCTGGGGATGGGCTGTTGCATCAGCGCATCACGCATAGAATACTGTCGTGTGCTATGGTCGGCTCGTGTGACGGCTTAGCTGCCTTGCATGCTCCATGACGTGCGCGTTCGGCCCGCTGCTGTAACGCTGGTTGATCCGCCACAATCCTAGAACGTCCCTAGCAACCCGTCGTCATAACTCGAGGCGGCTCTCTTTGTATTCACCTGTAGGGGCTGCGAGGGGTAGGGTCATGTTAGTTCACGGGCTACTTGTTAACGTGTGCCTGTTACCTACATGCAGCGCTGAAGTGGAATGGTCCTTGTGAGTCATGTCGCGAGATGCGTGACTGAAGCTTGCGATATGCGTGATACTGAAGCTTGACATGCAATTCTCCACCATTGGTAGCTGCACCGCACAGCCAGTCCTACCTCACACAGTTGTGTAGAGGCTGTTCTATGCTGCTTCTAATAGAAGCTCGTAAATAGGGCACCACAGCGTCGAACAGTGCTCCAGTGCATCTTAGGATGGGGAAATAAGACGGGGTGCGTGGGGTCCGGGGTTAGGATATCTGCAAGGTACTTGGCGACTAAAATGGAAAATCACGATACAGTAATGGGTCGGAAAATGCTGCACACGGTAGGGCCTGTTGGTTCACCCGCTACATGTGGACGTGAGCTCGTTCCCTACATGCAGCGCGCGCCTGGTTTTTTTGATCCACGTCACACACGCTGCGTGACTGAAGCATGGCATGCAACTTACTACAATCAGCAGCTAAGTTGTTTACCTGTCCTATAGTGGCTTCCCTATTTCACAAAGAGATAAGTATTATAATGTGGGGGATGTGGACGACGACGCATAGTATGAATGGGTACGACCAATCAACTGCTGGATCCAGTGAATCCACATAGCAGCAAACTATCTTATTATTTCTTATTGCTCCGCGCGTACGATCCTATGGTAGGATGTTTTGGTCTCCGGTATTTAGGGCTCGGATGCACACACTGATATGTTTATGCCAATACCACTGACCTGAGCATTTGAGCGAGCCGTAAGCACCGGACAGGAATACTCTGCGTAAACCAGAATATAATTTTCTAGAAGAGTTGTGCAGAGCCGTACTGGATTTACAGAACATATGTGCCGTGCAAGCATCATGCAAGCACTCAGCCAACGTGCGGTCTAGTGCTGGGGCTCGCTGAGAACAGAAACAGTTGCTTATAATGCCCCTGCTTTTGGGGGATGCCGGCCTTACCAGAGCTCGCGCTGTAGTTTGCTTGCGCCGAGGACTCGCCAGCTGGAGATGTTGGTCGCCTTCCGGCCGCCAAGGCTACCGCACCAAACATCCCTTGTATCTAGCTCCGACGCGCCCTGCTCCTTCTCCGCCAGGCCCTGAGGTTCTTGCAGCCGCTGCAGAGGAGGGGCCCCGACCAGGCAGTACGTCCTATGACAGGGGTAGTGTTATGAGGAGCAGGGCAGCATCGTTGGGGCCCGGGCATGGAGCAGCTGGGAGCAGCGGTGGCCGCGGGGAGGCTGGCCGGCGCTCGGGGCCGCTGCGAGACCGTGAGAGAGGAAGTAGGGGCAGGGGACCCGGCAGTGGTGCTGGGGATGCCCGGACTGACCGTGTCTCTGGCATCACACACTTGCCCACCCTCGTGGCCATCATCGAGGAGAACGCGCCAAAGTGGTCAGCAGCTCGTGACGTGTCAAGCCTTCGTGCTGCCTTCCTCACCCTAGCCAAGGTGTGAAGGTGTTGGCATTGTGCACACATCCCACTAGTGTGACCTGAGCAGCTCCATCGGGCCCCATGCTGAAGTTGCTGAAAGCCGTCCCTCCCTTGCCCTGCAGCTCGGCTCCCGCCCCGGTACTGACACTCGGCTGCTGCCGCGCGCCCTCACCACCCTGGCAGCCGCCTACGTGCCACTGGTGCCGGGACTGAGGGACGCATTTTCCTGCACAGGCCCCCTGTATGCCTGTGCCAAGCTGGGCTTCTGGGAGGGGCAGCTGGCAGCAGCACTGCTGGAGCGGCTGGGGCTGGATGGCGGGGAGCTGCTGCAGCGGGCGGATGGGAAAGGGCACGGCAACCTGTGGTGGTCGGTATCAGTTGCTCCCAAGCAGCTCGTGGCTCTTGCGGAAGGGGCCCTGCAAGTAAGCAGCACATGCCTCACACTAAAGAACCCCTCACAGCTCGCCTCACAGTCCTGCTCGAACATCCTGCTGGCGTGTGCCCGGTTGCAGCGCCGCCACGACCCCCTGCTGCACCACCTGACCGCCTGCCTGGTACAGCTGCCTGATGCCGAGTGTCAGCATCTGGCCAACTCGCTGTATGCGCTGGGTGAGCTTGCTGAGGACTGCGGCCACAAGCCTCGGAAGCAGGACCTGCAGCGCCTGGGAGGTAGGGTACTCGAGCGAATGCAGCAGCAGCAGGGCAGCGGGCGTCAAAATGGCAGCCTTGGCAACCATGACAGCTTCACACCACAGCACCTATCCAACATGCTGCTGGGGTGTGCTAAGCTAGGCTTCTCCGACCCCGGCCTCCTCCACTCCCTTGCTGCTGCACTAGGGTGCTGCAGCCAGCTGGCCAGAGAACAAGAGCTGGCCAACTCGTTGTATGCACTGGCTGTGATGGGGTGCACAGGACCCCAGTACACCTCGAGTGTGAAGCAGCTGTATGCAGAGGTGCTGCACCGCCTGCACAGTCAGCCCAGTCGGTTCGTTCCTCAGGAGCTGTCCAACATCCTGTGGGCCCTGGAGCGGCTGCAGCCAGATGGCATGGACACGCTAGTGCAGGCCCTGGCAGCAGAGTGCAGGCGCCGCCAATTTGTTAGCTTCAAGCCTCAGGACCTCAGCAACACTGCCTGGGCCCTGGCCAAGATGGGTTACAGCGACCAAGACTGGTACGAGGCAGTCGTCACAGCAGCCAGTGCCCCAGGCGCCATGCAAGGGGCACGCCCACAGGAATGGGCAAACCTGTGGTATGCCCTTGCGTTGGTGCGGCACAGGCCCCCTGACTCCTTCCTGGAGGCTACGGCACGGGACGGGCTTCCTTGCGCTAGTCCTCAGGAGTGCGCCAACCTGCTGTGGTCCCTGGCCTCTCTGGGCCTGTACGATCAGCGGCTGGTGGATGCGCTGGGAGAACGGCTGGGGGAGCTGTTGGGGGAGAAGGGGAGAGAAGGCGCAAAGAAGCAAAACCTTGCCAACAGCCTGTGGGCGCTTGCAGTGATGGGCCCTGACGTGCTGTCCCGCCACAGCGGCCTGTTGGAGGGGCTGCTGATAGAGGTGGTGCGGAGGTGGGAGCAGGAGGGGAGCGATGGCTTTACAAGGGGGGAACTGGCCCAGTTGTGGCAGGTGCAGCAGGAGCTAGGTAAGGGCAGGGCCAGGGGCAGGCCACGTAAGGGTGCTAAGAAGCTGGAGCTCATCCTAGCTGGGGATGTTGACGGTCAGGACAGGGAAATGCTCCAGGCAATGCGAGCTGCAGCTGAGGAGGAGAGGCTGGACCCCACCACCTCCGAGCTGCAGCAGGCTGTGGTCCGTGTCCTCCAGCAGCTGCAGTCAGCCGCTGGCCAGGACAGCCCCCTCAGCCCCGCTTCCAGCAGCGACCCCAGCAGCCCCATCCTGGCCATCCTCCCCGAGCACCCGGTGGAGGCGCTGTGCTGCCGGGTGGACGTGGTGGTGGAGCTGGCGGGAGGGAGGCGGGTAGCAGTGGAGGTGGACGGGCCATGGCACTTCCTGGCCAACCACCCACACACAGGCACCAAGACCGGACGCACCCAGCTGCGGGACAGGCAGTTGGAGCGGGTGTTTGGGGCGGGGAATGTGGTGAGCGTGCCGTACTGGGAATGGGACGCGTTGAGGCGGGGAAAAGAGAGGCAGCACTACTTGGGCGGTCTCCTGGGTGTTGGAGTGCCTTAAGACGTGAACAGCGTTTAGAGTCGTGTTTTGCCCTTCGCAAGAAGCAGGCTGGAGCCCGGCAACATGCCGGTTTTGTTTAGTACAGTAGGCTGGCAAAAGGGTACATGTACATAAAGGTGTTTCAGTGCTATACCGGTTGATGCAGAAGGTCAGGCCTCCGCTCAATGTGGCTGCGTGTTGAAGGAGATCCCTACCTGTCATTCTCTTGGATGAGCAGCAGGTAGGAAATCATCAAACATGCGGTGTGCCTGATTCCTACCCTGCATGTGAGGTTTGGTGCCCTACCTGGAGCCTGCATACATGGTCAACATGGAGGTATCATAGGCTGCTCGAGTGGTCGATAGCTATGCCACGGTTGTCGCAATGTCAAGTGTATGCTATGATGTGGTATGCTGTTACATGGTGGGGGCCCTATGCTATGCCTTCTGGCTGTCAGCACATGCCTAACGTCACTAACAACAAAGCATGGAATGGTTATACTTGTCAGGAAAGCTACTTTCACACGTGTTATCCACGTTTCCATTACTGCGTTAGCGGACCACAACTCCTGTACATGTGCCGCCGCCCTGCATTCAACACCGTACGTGCATCAAGCTTTGTTTGCGTGCAGGGGGGTCCGGTATGTGCACACAGCAGCGCAGCAGGTGTTGGTGGCGGGTACGCCTGCTCCGGGTTTCTAGCCCATTGAATGGAACCGTCACGCCAGCCACAGCAGCCTGCCGGCCGCTATTCCTACGTGCTTGCATACACGGCAACGCATGTCACGGGGGAGAGCCGCCTTCAAGCCGGGCATGGCGATTTGGTTGACCCGTGGGTCTCACCCTCTTAGCTGCACTTCAGGTCCGTGCTGAGACCTCATCAGGATGTTGCGTAGGCGCAACAGTTTGCTCGCCGGTTGTCCCCAAGGTACCTGTTGTTGTTGTGCTACTGCTTTCCGGGTGTTTCCTGTCTGTCATAACTTCAGCAATCCGTTTATTCCGGTTCGCTCCTTCCCAGTGCTTCCATATACACAGCTAAATCGGTTTATATAAACGGGAGTAAACATGTACAAGAAAAGAATGGTTCGCTTGTAAATGACGGAAAATCCTATCGCAGTAAGCGCAATCGATGACTTAGCTGTAGAGTAGAACGTGGCCGACATACACAGCTGAGATCCATCCAGCTGATATACAAGCATTACTTGAGTATGTTGTACATAAACTTATTTTATATCTCGCGGTTCGTGAACAGTAAACAAATCATAACATCCAGAGGCGCGCACATTTCGCAGCAAAAATTAATCAATCGCAACGTGGTTAAGCCAATTATGTACATATATCTAAACGTTTAACCTTTACGAAAGCCTATTCCTTTCAATATGGGCTCCAAGCCCGCTGACAGTGTTGGTTGGGATGTGGTTGGCTACCTGGGAGGCGGCACCCTCGCGATCTGCACGCTGCCGCAGCTCTGGCACATGTACCGCACCCGCAGCGCCGACGACCTCTCCTGGCGCTTCCTGGCGCTCTACCTCAGCGGCGCCTTCCTCACGTTCGCCTACCTGGTGCATGAGGACGCGCGAGCCGCCTGGATCTCCATGACGCTGGAGGTAGGAGGTGATGGGGGCGTGTGGAGGTGTGCAGCGAGCGAGGTCCTGTCCCTCTACATGCTCGCGCATTTGCATGCTTGCTTTCTCACGCTCACGCTTAGCATCAGGAGCGCAGTGTATGAGTAAATGACCGTTACATTGATCCCAGACCGACTGGCCATGTTCAGCTGCACCACTTGCCCTGGCAAAGCTCTCCGCCAGTGAGTGGCTGTCCCAGGGCTGTCCCCTCTTATTACTTCCGCTTTGGTGCCTGCCGTACCCTCACCCTCGCCCGCATTACCCTCACGTCCCCAGATCACCCTCACCCTCACCACGCTGTTCTTCAAGCTCTACCTGGACTATATCAACCACTACCGCAGCAGCAACAGCAAACGGCAACAGCAGCAGCAACAACAGCCCCTCCCGACTGCAGATGGCAACCCATCAGCCCTCCCAGCCTGCGACACCGCCCCTGCTGCTGACCCTTCCAAGGACCCTGCTTTCGCCCCCCTTCTCCTCAACCCAACGCCGGGGCCACATGCTGCTGCTGCTGCAGGCTCTCCGCTGGCAGCTGTCGTCGTCGCTGGCTGCTACCCCACATCCCATGTCGGCGTTGCACCCGGCAGCACCCCCACCCTTGAAGGCGGCCGCGGTTCGGACCAGGGAACACGGTCACCCGCGTGTCGGCCTGCGGGTGCCGTTGCCAGCGCTCGACTGGAGTTGGGGCCCCTGGCGGCACCCGCCGCGGGTGAAGGATGAGGGTCGGACTGGGGCGGCACTTTGCTGAACTGAGCATGAGCAGCAGCGAATATCGTGCCATTGCGGTTGCCGTAATCGGCACGAGCAAGGGGCTATCGCGTGCGCGCTCACGTGTGGTTGGGGCGCTGCAGCGAGCGTGCGTCTGCTGCTGCTGCTGCGTTACATGGCGGGCACGGCTGGTGGTTGGTGAGGTCGCCAGCTCCTGGCAGAACCTGGCGATCCACACCACCTGACAACCCTGCTGTGCAGCTGACGAAGCGGCGCTGCAGCTGTGCATGGTGTCTACGAGTTGCGAGCTGCGAGTCAAGTTCTCCCTCCTGCTGTAACTGTCTCGTTGCTCGCGGCGAGGTGGAGTGCAGCAGAGCGCCGCCGCAGTACGCAGCAGTACAAAGCGACAAGCGCGCAAGCTGCTGCGCTTCTTCCAATCCGCCCTCACGCACTATGTTACCGATACACCGGTATCCTCGAGCGGTATTGATATCCACACGGTGGTATTGCGAGAAGGGACTGCCGTTGGGCTGCGGACGTGCGCGTCCTGCTGGCAAGTTGGCGTGTGTGCAGGCTATCGTACGTGCGGGTACATGCAGCGGCAGGTGGCCAGGATGTCCCATGGGTCGTTATTTGTAGCGGTGGTGGTGGTGGTGGTGATGTCCATGATGATGGTAACCTCTCGTGCTGCGTAGGATGAGATTGGACGACGGCGTGTGTCATTGAGCGATGTCTCACACCGCTCCTCCGGTTGTGACCATCGCACGTCTTGCACGTGATGTGTGCAAACCTGTTGTTACAAGGCTTACAACGCAAGTCCTCACAAACGCAAACCGCCACAAACACATGCCGCCTACAACAGCTGCAGTAACGCCCCGCTTGTCAGGAGAAACGCCGGCTTGCCGAACCCGAAATTCGCACCTTTCAACCTATACCGGTACCTCGGACACTCAGTTTTTCTCCCGAAACATGTTAATCTTCCACTCCTCCAACGCCGTCGCTTATTCATACTGTACACATCAAGCCGAAAGCCAGTCCTGCTTATTTACAACCACATACCGGTACGCTTCAACCTGTGCGGCTTCAATACGACAGCCCCACTCCGCCCAGACGCCATCCTGCTTCATAAGGCCTGCTACAGACCACACAATTAGCACCCCTCAAAACTCCTCCGCCAACATGCCAGCCCCGTGCAATGTCTACTCCCCAAACGTGCCTTCCCCTGCTACTGGTAATAACCACCAACAAACCGCTCCTGCCGTACAGTCCCGCACCACCAGTGCCGTACACCTCCCTTCCCACCCCCGCACTTCGCCACCTCCCTCCCTTCTTTCCCTCTTCAGGACCGCACATTTTGAACCATCCTGAACCCACACCTCCTCCTCATCTCCTGCCCCTCCCCATCACGCCATGCGGCAGGACACTTCCGCTCGCACATCGCCGTCATCCTCCTCCTCGTCATCATCATCCTCCCCCCCGCCCGCCCCCGCCCCCGCACCCTCACCACCCTCCCCCGACCCCTCTCCCCCCCTGCCCCCCACTGCCCCCCTGCCGTACAGCTGACTCATCAGCAGGTGCCAGAGCTGCGGGTTCTCCTGGAGCGCCTGCTGCAGCGCGGAGGCACTGCAGGGGGGGAGGAGGGGAGGGGGTGGGAGGTAGGTGAGGAGGGCATGAGTAGGAGATATACCAAAACAGGGGCAGGAAGGAGGGTGGCAGGGGTGGGGTGGCAGGTAAGAGTGAGAGGCTTGGAGGGTCTTTACAGATGTACCGGTAACAGCAGGGAAGGTAGCAGCCGCGAAGAATAAAGGCAAACAGATGCTTATGCAAACAACCCGTTGTCCGTACATACGCAGGGTAAGGCCTTACGACCCCTATCCTGTCTCGCATTGCACCTTCTGGCACATACCTCCTGAGGCCGCTACCCCACCACTCCCTCGCCACATTAACACACCCGGCATATGAGCACCGCGCCCTCGCACCACCGCACCACCACCACCACCACCACACCACCCGGGCCGCTCCCCTTCCCTCCCTCCCTCCCAACACCCCCCACGCCTCCACCCCCCGCACCTCTCCCCCTCTCACCGAATGGACGACGGCCCCTCCCGCATGCGGTCCTGGTTGCGCCCCGCCAGCCCTTCCGCCTCCCGCCGCTGCTCCAGGGAGGCGGCAGCGCCCGGCAGCGCCTCCCCCGCGGGGCTCCACAGCCGGATGACGTCCTCGATGCCGCTGGTGGCGAGCACGGGCAGCGAGGGGTGGCACTGGGGAGGGAGGAGAGGGGAGGAGGAGGGGAGTGAGGAGGAGAGGGAGGCGGGGACGGTACAGTGAGGGCCTAGGGTTTGCAGTAACGGCAAGGTAATGGGCACATGCCACCCTCAGCTGCCAATCACCTGCACCGCACCCAGGCGCTACTGCCACCCCTCCCCCCTACCCGTTGCTTCACTTCATTTCCCCCCTCCTGCCCCTCACCTGCACTCCGTTGCTTCACCTTTCATGATAATGCCCCCCTCCTTCCCCCTCCCCTCCTCCCTCTCCATCCTCCCCCCCCACCTGCACGCAGTTGGCCACGTCCTCATCTGCCGGCAGCGCCCGCAGCACCTCCCCACTGGCGCTGTCGTACAGGAACACGCGCCCGCAGTCGCTGCCGGCAGCCACCAGCCGGTCGTCGGAGCCGACGAAGGTGACCTCCTTGATGTCTGGGGAGGGGCGGGCGAGGGGAGGGAGTGGGAGTGGGAGGGTAGGAGGGGGAGGGAGGGGGAGGGGGGGAGTGGGAGCGGGGGTAGGAGGAAAGGGTAGCGGGCTGGGCAAGAGGCGCCATGTTACGGTCACTAGGCGGTTACCAGACGACGGTGAGTGGGGAACACAAAAACACATTCTTCCGAGTGCAAGCACCTATACCCTCAACAATCCGAAGGGTTCCGAAAGCCCATAACAACCCGAAGAGCTCAGCAAGCTCATTACCTGTTTGCACGTTGCATTGCCCCACGTAGCGCTGAAACATGCGCCGCCCGCCCTCGCTGCCGCCCCATGCCCCCGGCGGATGGCCCGCAGGTGTCCCGCTCTGCCTGCAGTGACCCGTGGGTCGGCCCGAGGTGCTGGCACCGCTGCCGTCTTCGCCCTCCGTCAAGCCGAATACCCTAGCGTAGCTGCAACAGGAACCAAGGAAACACGGGACATTGGCAACGTTGCAAAGCACATTTGAATACAGTAGATGAACACATATACTGGCTCCACAACCAAAGGCCCAATGCAGTAAGCACCGGGCCGCACAGATATATGCCACAACACCCAACAACAGCACCCTCACCCCGCAGTCACCCGACCCCTCAGCCCCAACTCAACCCTTCCCGCCACTCACTACTGTAGGAACAGCTCCTCATCCGGATCCCGCTCCTCCTCTCCTCCCGGCAGCGAATCCAGGTCGCTATCACTGCCGCTGCCGCCCGCACCTCCCTCCTCCGCCTCCTCCTCCGCCTCCTCCTCCTCCGCCTCCACCTCGCCCTCCCCGTCACCGGGCATCACCACCAGCCGCCCCTCCTCCTCGTCCTCTCCCCCCTCCCAGACGCGCTCCAACCGGAAGCGGGCGACGCGCCGCGGCGGCTGCTCCGAGTCTGCAGCAGCCCCCGCTGCCGCTGCCGCTGCCTCTGCTCCGTTTGCTGACCCCGCCGCTGCCGCTGCCGCTGCATCTGCCTCCGCTCCTGCTCTTGGTCCCGCTGCCGCTGCCGCCTGCCCGGGTTCAGGAGGACCTGACACCTCCCTGCCGCCGCTGTCCGCTGCCGCCGACCCGGGTACGGCAGCTGACCCGCCGTCCTGCTGCCCTGGTCGTTGTTGTTGCTGGTGCGTGCCTGCTGCTGCGCCTGCTGCAGCATCCACCTGCATGGCGTCCCCAGCAGCGGAGGAGGGGGACTGAGGAGCTCCCTGTTCCCCTCCTCCTTCTTTCTCTTGCGGCGGAGGTAGCGGCGGTGGTGGTGGTGGTGGTCCGTACACCTCGTCTGAGGAGTCATCCTCAGTCCCCTCCCTCCGACTGCCTTCCAGGTGGCTAGCGCTGGCGGCCGCTGTCGCAGCCTCTTGGGACCTCCGCTCCGCGGGAGCCTCAGCTGCTGGCGCTGCAGTGCTATCAGCAGCAGCCGCACCGCCAGCAGCAGCAGCAGCAGCAGCAGCAGCAGCCCGAGGGGGGCTGGCGGTGGCGGGGGCAGCAGCAGCCCCAACAGCCTGCTGCGGCCCCGCTGGGGAGCCGGCAGAGGGCGCTTCCAGGGCATCCCGCACAGTGGTGGTGGCAGAGGTGGCCCCAGCAGCAGTGGCCCCAGCAGCAGTAGCTCCAGAGGTGGAGGCAGGGCCGGCAGCAGGGCCCCCTCCTCCTCGGGGCGCGGCTGCTCGCTGGGGGCGCGGCGGGGTGGAGGCGACTCGTCGGGGCGCCCGAGCCAGGGCCTCCTGCGCGCGTGTATGTGGAAGGTTGGAGAGAGGGTTGAAGCGAGAGGGGGAACAGACAAGGAGCAGCTGGACTCAGCAGCTTCACTCGCAGCCTCCGCTCACGAGGCCTCCTTCAAGCGAATCCTGCTCGCTCATCTCCCACGTCCCCCCACCCTGACCCCATACGCGATACGCCTACCCCCTGCCCCTCATCCTCTCCCTCCCTCCATCTCCCCCCCTCCCCCTCCCCCCCCTCACCGCCCGCAGCGCCCTCCGCCGCTCCTGCTGCTGCCGCCGCGCCTCGTACATCCTCCGCCGCTCATCCGAGGCACTCCGCAGCTGGGAGGCCAGCCGGCACACCTCCTCGCAGGATCCGCCACCGCCTCCTGCTTCGTCTTCCTCGTCCTCTTCGTCTTCGTCCTCTTTGCGAGCCCGGCCTAAGAAGCGGCGGCGGTAGTCCTCCACTGCTGCCAGAGCGCACTGGGTGGGGGAGGGGAAGAGGAAGGAAAGCGAGGGGGTGTGTAAGGTCGAGGGTCGTGCGGTTGCAGCGGCAGATGCAGCCGCTATGCACATGGCCGCTGCAGCGGCGCCGCAGGACGATGACATGCAGGAATAGCCCTTCACACACTTCACATCCCTCTCCCATCCCGCCCCCCATCACGCCCTCCCTCCCTCCCTCCCCCTCACCCGGAACTGCTGCAGTGCCTGCAGCGCTGCGATGCGGCGCAGGGCGGCTCGCCGGCAGCCGCCCGGCCGCAGCTGGTGGGCGGTGTCGCAGTCGCGGAGGGCCAGGGCGGCGTCACCCACCCAGGCGCGACTCAGCAGAGCCTCTGAGATGGAGATGGAAGGGAGGAGTAAGGGAGGGAGGTGCGGGCTGAAACTATAATCTCGGTACGGCAAGAAGGAAGCATAAACAGTAAATGGTACGATGGTCGATGGTACGATGAACGAATGGCGATGGATCGCCTGGTGCGATTACTTGAAGGCAAAAACGTCGCCCAAACCCCTTCCCAGCAGGCCGCCCTCCTGTCCTCCTGCCCTCATCCCGCCCTCTCACCCGCTCTCAGCACGTACAGCAGCGGTGCCCCAGGCGCCCAGTGCAGCGCATCACTGAACGCGCCCACCGCCTCACTCCACCGCCCCTCGGAGGCCGCAGACGTGCCGCGAGCCTTTGCCTCCTCGGCACGCGGCGGCAGCGGAGGGGCGGCGGCGGCGGCGGCGGAGGAGGAGGAGGAGGCTGCGGGGGTGCTGTTCAAAGGGCGTGCAGCAGCAGCAGCAGTGGTGGCAGCGGTAGCAGAACAAAAAGAGGGACCGAAGGCGGCGGCACCGGTGGGTGCCAGGGAGGAGGGTTGCGGGAAGGTGGCGGTGAGGCTGCCTGCGGAGGTGACGTCGAAGCTGTAGGCGTGGTCGCCGTGGTAGGTGGCTACCACCTGTAGGGGGAGGGAGGGAGGAAGGGAGGGAGGGAAAAGAAGAACCCAAGGTGTTGGGAGGGAGGGAGAGAGATGGTTGGCTGAGCGCCAATCGCAGCGTCAATCGTACGGAACGCACACTGCAGCATAAGAAAAGTGTCAGAAGGACAGCGGAAGCAGACGATAGGGGGTGTGGCTGTACGCAACAACCCCTCCCCGCGTGCCACCTTAGCCCTCGTTCTCCGTTACCTCCTTCCCCGTTACCTCCTTCCCCGTTACCTCCTTCCCCGTTACCTCCTTCCCCCATTATTACCTTATCTCCCCGATTCGAAAAGGCCACGTAGGTGGAGTGCGCCCGCCCGTGCCGCGCCTGCGCCGCCAGCGGCAGGTGCGGCGGCGCCAGGGCCAGCAAGGGCGGGGTGGTGCCGCGGCGGCGCCAGCAGTGGCAGTCCAGCTTGCGTCGGTCGTAGAGGCGGATGAAGGGGTCGCTGCCGGCTACTGCTAGCAGATGGGGCTGGGACTTGGGGAGGAGGGGGAGGAGGAGGGGGGGGCGTTTGGAGAGAAAGAAGGCTGTGAGAGGAGAGGTGAGACCCGTGCGGGCAAAGCGGGAGGAGAGGGAGGTGTGTTAAGAAGACCGGCCGCATGTGGGAAGGTATTGGATTGTGGGAAGATGAGTGTGTATATGGCCAGCAGGTGTAGGAGGAGGCGAGAAGGAAGGCCGGCGGGCAGTGGTGGTGCGTGAGGCATACATGGCATTTCATGCGTGCAGAAGACACTCGCATGCATGACGCACATGCAGCGTACGGGTTTTGGCAACAGCCATCCCAGCCCCTCTTGGAGGCAACAGCCATCCCAGCCCCTCTTGGAGGCAACAGCCATCCCAGCCCCTCTTGGAGGCAACAGCCATCCCAGCCCCTCTTGGAGGCAACAGCCATCCCAGCCCCTCTTGGAGGCAACAGCCATCCCAGCCCCTCTTGGAGGCAACAGCCATCCCAGCCCCTCTTGGAGGCAACAGCCATCCCAGCTCCATCACCACGTTTCAGAGCACTTCTGGAAGCAGGTTAAGTTGTCGTACATACCTTGCAGATGTCAATGCTCTTGGCTTGGATGGTCTTGTGACCGTCTCGCAACTGTTGAGGAGGGACGCGAAATGGGGTATAGTGCGATAAGTGAGGAAGGGTTGAGCCTGACGCGTTTAAGAAGGCAATTCTCAAAGGGGTATTGTGGCACCCTGCCGCCCCCTGTCCCATTGCTTCGCCCTAACTTGTGATCTCCAATGGTTTGGTAATATAGTCTTTGACCCCCCCCTCCTGCCCTCCCGCCCCCCCCCCCCGCCCCACCTGCACCAGCACCGTGGGGCTCTCCCACTTGTCTTGGTTGGGCGCCCGCGTGTCGTACTGCCGAACCACCCCGTCCTCGCCAGCCGACCAGAAGGCGTGCGGGTTGAGCGGTTCCACCTTGACATCCTGGGAGGGGGCGGGGGGGGGGGGCAGGGAGGGCAGGGAGGGAGCGAGGAGGGCAGGGAGGGAGCGAGGAGGGGTGAGGGCAGGGACGAAGGGTGAGGGCAGAGCAGGTATGAGCAGGAGGACGAAGCGGCGGCAGGAGGGGTGCGTGGGCAGCGGAGGACAATCCGATAAAGGGCGCAACGGCGGGCTTGTAGCGGCTCGTCATGTCAGCTCCCGATCTCAGGTCGTACACTTCCCATTGGTCCCAATCACCGCTGCAGTGCCGCAGTGCCCGGTTGCTGCAGTGCTGCAGTGCGGTGCGGTGCCGTACCTTGACCCGGTCCTTGTGCGAGTAGAACACGCGGGTGCGGGGGGTGACCAGCTGCAGGTGGGAGGAGGCGGAACCCACACGGCGCCGCAGGGCGGGACCGCCGCCGGCAGCAGCAGCGGTGGACTGCCTGCCGGCCCCTGAGACCCAACCCTGTGAGGGCAGGAGAGGGCAGGAGAGGGCAGGAGAGGGCAGGAGAGGAGACAGAGGGGGAACTCATGACGGTATCTGTATCGGGTGGCCTACCTCAGTCGCTGCATGGGAGAGGTGGTGCACCTATCCATGTAACATGCAAACCGGTGCCTAGGAACAGCGTCGTTAGGATGTATCCGTCCTTACAGCGTGTACTACTACGGCAAGGGCTATTATTAACACTCTCTCTCTCATATATCAACACTGACCCGTGGGTCACCATTTCACCAGCGCGCCGCATCCAGCATTCATGCAGCTGCACGTTGTCGCCCTGACCCGCCCTGTTGTCACAGGCTTGGGTGCTCCCCATATCCACCCGTGTTGCCACAAGCCCTCCCTAACCCCCCCCCACCTCGTCAGTTGCTTCGTCAGTGTCTCATCATATATATTTTTGACCCCCACCTCCTATCCCCATTGTCTTGCCCCAACCTGTGGCCTCCTACGGTTCGGTATGGTCTTTGACCCCCCACCTGCTGCGCTGCCGGCGCCGCATCCAGCTCATGCAGCTGCACTGTGTCGTCCATGGCGCCCGTCACCAGCCGCATGTCTCCGCTGCAGGGCAGGAAGCAGCAGCCGAAGATGTTGGCGCGGTGCTCCGTGGAGAGCGCCAGGGGGGTGCGGGAGACGTCGGGGTAGTGCCAGATGATGGCCTGCATGGGGGGAGGAGGAGCAGGAGGGGGAGGACTGTTGGGTGGGTGCTAGAAGTGGTGTGGGGATGGGTGGGGCGTTCAAATGGTGACGAACCGCACTGGAACAGCGAGCAAGAAGGCATGGCGTAGCGTTCAATTCCATAGCGAGAGGTTGTGTTTTGCCTTCCAGTGAGGGCGGTGCACGGTGCACTATGCAGAAGGGGGCTCTGGGAGGATGGGGGCCAGCCCCGCAGAAGCAGCTTAAAGCCGCGGCAGCCGCATAGGTTCTTAGGCTATGAAGTCCTACGAAGGAAGGAAAGAGCACTAAAGGAACCCACCCGGCGATCGTCGGATCCGGAGACAAGCAGGGAGCCATCGGCGTTCCACGCGAGTCGGTTAACGCAACCACTGTGACCCTGGTAGGTGTGCTCGACCTTCAGCTTGCCGGCATAGTGAGCAGGAAAATGAAGAGATCGCTGAAAGATGTCAGCATCCTGAAGGTGATTATGGGAAAAGGAGCGGGGAGCGAGTTGATGTGTGATGCCGAAATGGCAATCCATGCCACAGTCCACGTCATCCATCCATGAAGTATGCTCGGTAATTCTGCTGCGTTGTGGCAGTCTAGGGCATTGAAACGGCCTCTAACAAATTCAATGACCTGTGCCCGGGTACCGGTAGAGGGGTTCGCTTACCCGTCGCCCCAAGGCACCTTGCTCCCTCTCTCGCAGCAACTGATGCAACCCCGGAAACATGTTCGGCATCTTATTGGTGTTATGCACGGATGGCGAGATGCGGCATACGCTGACAGGAAGCCCGTTCTAGACGAACCGCTCCATACCGATACTCGTCGTAACGAAGATTGCCACAAACAATGCGCATTCGATAAAAACGACTCAGTGTAGGAAGGTGCCAAAGTTTCCGATTGTCGTGAAGCTGTGGGAGCTGCGCACGCGAAGATGGGAGTTGCACGGAGGGGTTCCAAATGTAACGTACGCTCCCACGTTGCACAATAACGGTTCCATAATTATCGTTTATTTATCTACCAATCTGGGCAGACCCACAAAAAGATGGCAGTGTTAGGTCACGCAACACCATGGATGTAGAAGCGAGTAGCTGCTTGCCCTGAAAATTTTAACTAGCGGACGCAGAAATGGAGGGCATTCGTCGCGTGTTCGGTGGCAACCCGGATAGTTTCAAGTTAGTGTTTGAGTATGGAAGGGACAGCACTACGAAGGAGCAGAGTTCAGCGCTTCCGGCTGGCCAAGTTCGGCTACCGGTGGCGCTGGCTACCATGGAGTTCGAGTTTAACAGCAACGAAAGCGAGGCAGCGGTCCTGGAGCGTTTTACGCAAGCAAAGAGCAAGATTACATTCGATCGGCTTGAAGAACGCATAGTCCTGAAGCTGACAGCCAAAGATGAGACCAGCGGTGGAGTCAAGGCGAGCATCTCCTTGGCTTGCATCACCCCCGTCTTGCGCTGTGTGCAAGTCGTGCGCACATCATCGACAGGTGTGTTGGCGAAATGTAAAGGACGCTCAGAAGGGGCAAATCCAAACCTAGCCCTGAGTCAAAACGGGTCCTGGCAAAGGGGGCCTTGGGGACAAACCGTCAAGCAATGGCAGCACGAAGTGAGGTTCCAACTGTCGTGCCAGGTTGCAACATTAAAACCAAGTCTTAAGCCGTCCAAATCCTGGACCCCTAAACTTGCACCCCTTGAAGCCTGACCGAAGTCCCAAATCACAAGTGCAGTCACCCCCTTACGCGGCTCTCCTGTCTGCCCGAAAGCCTGCGCCTCCGGTCTCCTCATCCCCCATGCTATAGACCATGTGCAATACAACTCATGCTGTGCCTCCTACGTCCTACCCCTGACACCGTCACTTCCTCCCTGCACTCCCCCTGCACTCAGCCCCGTAACCCCTCTGCGCCCCACGGCCGCCCACTTCTTCCCCGCAGCCCTCACCTGTACTACACACTTCCACACAACAGGCGTTGGCTTGTTGCACTATTGGTTTGTTGCGCCTACTGGTTCTGCTTTCTTAAGCCTCCCTCTTAGCGCTTACCCTTATCTCCTCTGCCAACCAGCTGCCACTTACTACCATCTAACCCTCTCCTCCTCCGCACCTCCCCCCCCCACCCTCTTCCCCCCCCCCCGCCAGGCAATGTCCCCGAGGCGCTGCTGACTGCGCTGTTGAAGCACTGCGAGCTGGGGGGCGTGTGGAAGCTGCGGGGGGCAGAGGGGTTCGGGAACTTCTGGTGCAGGTGGGTTGGGGTTGGGGTTGGGGTTTGGGGTTGAAAACATACCTGAAAAGGTTGGGAAACAGAATGTGAAAAAAGTGAAGCAGTTGAAGTCCCAATCCCAGATTCCGACGGAGACACTTTCCTAGGAACACGCAACTCAATGGCTTATTACCGAATGCTTGCTTGGGCTGGGTTGGGGATCGGTAGGGATCGGCGCACGTCCCTGATGGGGGTTCATTCGCTGCTAACCAATACCCTGGAGGCAATTCTCCCCTTCCCCCTCCCCTCACCCCTCCGGCCTAACCTAATCTGTGGTTTCCTACGGTATGGTATGGTCTTTGACCCCCCCCTCTCCCCTCCAGCTGCTGCGAGGTGCGGTCCTGGCGCTCCCTGGCCAACCTGAACCTCTCCGCCTGCGGGCTGGCCTCGCTGCCGCCCGCGCTGGGCCAGCTGTCCTCGCTGCGGCTGCTGCGGCTGTCGTACAACCGACTGGCTGCACTGCCCGCGGAGCTGAGCTGCCTCACCGCGCTGGAGGTGCTGGCGGCAGACCACAACTTGCTGGCGGGGCTGCCGGGTAGGGGGGCGGGTTGGGGGGTACGAAATGGGGTAGTGAGTGCTCTGTCCGGGTAGGGAGGGGGATGGCGGGTGCGCTACATTTCACTTGAATTCAGCCTTCCTGGATCAGCATGTCTATATTTTTCCCTCCCTCCCTAATGCGGAAGTTTTATCCCTATTTCCCCCGCCCCCCGCCCCGCCCTCCCCCCCCAGCCGAGCTGCGCCACTGCTCCTCCCTGCGCCACCTGGAGTTGGAGGGCAACCGCCTCGCCACCCCCCTGCTCGACCTGCGCGCCCTCTCGCGGCTCGTCTCGCTGCAGCTGTACGGCAACCCGCTTGAGCTGCTGCCGGAGCTGAGCCCCGCGGCGGCTCTGCGCTCGCTGAGTGTGGCCAACGTGCGGATCATGGCGGATGCGGCCTACACCAGGTGGGGGGGTGTGGGGGGTGTGTTTGTGTGACATGTAGGCTCCGGCATGTCCTGATGCACCCTGGGGGAGCCCACCCTGGCCCACCCTTGCCGACGCCCCTCCACATCTACACTCAAGTTGGGGTGTTGAGAGTGGGTCCTGTGAGGGTGCAGGACCATGTGGTAACCCGACATGAAAGCCCATGTGGGGGGGGGGCAGCCCGCGCACACCAATTCGCCCGCCTCAGCTCGTCACAATGACCCAACCCTACTACCCCGCACCCCATCCCGCACCTCACCTCACCTCCCTCTTTAAACCCCCAGGTGGGAGGTGGAGGTGGCCCCCCTGCCGTACATCTCCCGCGGCCACAAGCTGGCTCCGCTGTTCAAGCTCACCTTCCGGCGCAGCAGCTGCCAGCACCCGCTGCTGGCGGGGGCGCTGGGTGAGGGGGGCGCGGGGGGGCGGGGCGGGGTATGGTGGGGTTAAGAGAAGCCTAACCATGTGACAAGGCTCCACCGTGGGGCGAGGCGGGGCGAGGTGGGGTAAGGTGGGTGTATACGCATCTACTCCTCCAGTCCGTTCCGACTACCCGCTTACACAACCCCCTGTAATCCAGCCTAGAGCGGTATTTGTTTTCCTAATACCCTCACCCGCCCCACCGCCCCCCAGGTCGGCTGTCCGAGGAGCGGGGTAACGCGGAGCTCATGTCGCGCGACGAGACCGCCGTACAGCAGCTGGTGCTGATGGCGCTGAGCGAGCAGCCGGTGGTGGCCGAGCAGGCGTGCAGGACACTGGGGGCGCTGGCGCAGCTGGGGCTGGCGACAGCGAGGAGGTAAGCTGGTTACGTTTTGACCCCTCACAATCGTTTTCCAAATGGCCCCGAATCGGCACTCAATACCGGTATCCTTCCTCGTGTTCGTTGGTGTGTAGCGTACTGCTTGACCCACCCGCCTACTCACTCGCCCCCTCGGCCCCGCCCACCTTCCCGCCCAACTTCCCGCCCACCCCTCAGGCTGCTGGCTCATGACGTGGTGTCCACCATCCTCACCCTGCTCCGCTCCCGCCGCCCCGCCTCCCAGCTGTGCGGCTTGCAGCTGCTAGCCAACCTGGCGGCCGCTTCGGAGCACATCAGCGCCGAGCTGCTTTCCCTGGAGCTGCTGCAGCTGCTGCAGGACTGCGTCGGGGCGGGGGGGCAGGCGGAGGGGGGTTCCCAGGCGGAGGAGGGAGCGAGTGGGAGTGACCCACGGGTCACGGGTGCTACTGCTGCGCAGTTGGTTTCTTCTCCTTCGCCGTCGCCGCCAGCGCCTTCCGCGACGGCAGCGATGAGTCCTGGAGTGATGAGTCCTGCTGCGGTGGCGGTAGCGGTAGCGATGGGGGAAGCGAGCAGTAGCGGTAGCAGCGGCGGCGGCGGCGGGCTCAATGCTAGTGGCGGTGGCAGTAGCAGCAGCAGCAGCAACCAGCAAGGTGTGACGGCGGCTGAGCTACGAGTCGCCGCCCTGACCGCACTCGCTAATCTGGCGTTTGCGAGGGACAACAAGCTGAAGATCCGAGCTGCTTCCGGGCTGCTGGCGACGGTGATTGAGCTGGCGATGTCCTCGCCAACCTCCTCCTCGTCTCAGGCCGCTGGGGCTGTCGCTGGGGGAGCAGCTACTGCTGCTAATGCTGCTGCAGCTTCACCTCATGCTGGGCAACCGCTACAGGCGCCCTCAGGAACGATGCCAGCAGCAACCGCTGCGGGTAACGGTACTGCAGCTGGGGGTCCTGGGGGTGGTACGACTGCGCCTCGTACCTCGCCCTCAGCACTCGCTGGGCCGCAGGGTTCTGCCGAACGACCCATGGGTCACCACAACCATCGTGCTTCCTCAACCTCAGTGGGCGGACAGCAGCAGCAGCAGCACCTCCAGCGACATAGCGACACGGGCGGCTCGGGTGCTGCGGCAACGGCAGCCGGGGGTGCATTGCAGCTGGGGACCTCCCCTCCCGGCGCGACGGTTCGTCTTCCTCCTCCTCCCCACTCATCGTCGCCGTACAATAGCTTCTCAACGACGACGGCTCACATGGGTACGTCAGTATCCGCCGGGGGCTGGCTAGTCGGACCTGCTGCTGCCACCACCGCCGCCACCGCTGCTGCTGGTGCCTCAGGCTCCGGACTGGGTAGCGGGTCGGACCCGTTGTCGCCGCCGCTTGAGGCGCGCATTGGCAGTGGTGGTATGGGCGGCGGATTGCACCACTCGGCGTCGACGCCGGCAGCGATCGGCTTGAGTGGCGGCGGCGCAGGCGCGGCGCCGCCCACTGGCTTCGCCGCACTCGCCGCCGCCGCCTCGCGCGCGCTGTCGCCCGTCCGAGCGACCCACATGCCGACAGGCGTTACGACAACTGCTGCAACAGCCGCCATGACACCCGCATCGGCAATACCCCTAGCCGCACCCACCACCACCACCACCTCTCCTTCCTCTGGCGGTGGGCTGCTCATGTCGCCCACCTCTCCCACGGCGGCCGATGTGGCGGCGGCAGCTGGCGCCTTCTCCTCCGCCTCCGCCGCCTCCGCCGCCGCCGCTGCTGCCGCCGGGTTGCCTCCCCAGATCTCCCAGGCCCCTCCTCGGGCGGTTCCGGAGCCTGTGGCGCTGCGGGACCAGTGCCGCCTGCTAGCCATCAAGGTACTCGCCATCCTGGGTGAGTGAGTGTATGGCAATGCCGTCATAATCAACATCTATAATACGACTAGAGTTATCTTTGCCGCAACAGAACGGCTGCCTTTCGGCTTTCTAACCTCGCAGCGTCGCTGATTACCACCCACCCACCCACCCACTTCCTCTCCTGCTGTGGCCCGTTATCGCACGCACGCCTCCCCCCATTGGATAATCTTTTTCCCCAGGCGAGAACGAGCAGGTCCGGCGGGCGGTGGGTCAGCCGGCCATCTCGGGTCGCGGGCTGCGCGTGTTGGCGCTGGACGGAGGTGGCATGCGGGGTCTGGCGCTGGTGCAGATCATGCGGAACATCGAACGGAGAGTGGGTGAGTGGGTGAGTGGGGGACCGATCCGCTCCCTGCCGCCGTCTTGTTTGCCATTCTCATTCTCGGCACGTTGGTTATCCTTCCTTTCCCACCTCCCTCCCGCCTCTCCCCCCCCCAAACCTCGCACTTCCCATTTATCTCCCCCCCACAAGGCCGGCCGCTGCACCAGCTGTTCGACCTGGTGGTTGGCACCTCCACCGGCGCCATCGTGGCGGTTGGGCTGGGGCTGTTCCACTTCTCACTGGACCAGTGCGAGGCGGTATACACAGGGCTGGGGCACAAGGTGTTCAACCAGGTGGGGCGGAAGGGGGGGGGATGCGGGGGGGGGAGAAGGGTGCTGTGGATGGTATGCCGGGTAGCAAGGGAATGAGACGCAGGAATGGAAAGCAAAAGAATGGGATGACGGCAGGTGTGGGGGGGGGCGCGTGAGGGCTTGAAGAAGAACCCAGGTGTCACAAACGCACCATGCGTGCACCACCCTTTTTCCCTCCCGCATGTAACGGTATCGTCCCGCATGGCCACCTACCCCAGGCAACCCGCAGCGGCTCTGGATCCGCCCCCGGCTCCCGCACCCCCCGGGAAGAGCTCATGGCCGCAGCTCAGGCTCAGGCCGCCGCACAGGCCGCCGCAGCCCAGGCAGCAGCAGCAGCCGCTGCCGCCAGCAGCAGCAGCAGCAGCGGGACAGCAGGCGGCGGCAGTAGCAGCGGCGGGGCCGGCGGCGGCAGCAGCAGTGGCAGCAGCAGCGGGTGGTTTGACGGCATGTTCAGTCTGCTTCGCGGCACCTCCACCAACCTGCGGGTGGCGGTGTACGGCTTCAAGCACGACGCCAGCACGTTTGAGGAGCTGCTGAGGCAGATGTGCGACATCAAGAAGCTGGTGGGTGTGTTGTTGAAGGGTGCGGTTGGGTATTGGGACGTTGGAGGGGTGGCTGCCTGAGCAGCTTGCGAAGTAGGTGTCGGAATGGGCGTCTCTTGACGCGTGCGCACCCCCGTGCAGTGTCAGGGGCGTGCGTCTGGGCGCGTATGTTAAGAAACCTGGCCGCGAGTCGGAACGTACTGGGAGGCGCGTGTGTGTATGGGGAAGGGATGAGGTGTCGACACGGGGTTCCTCTCTTGATGCGCCAAGGAGCGCATGCTACTACGGAGTCGTTGCTCCTATTGCTGCGCCTGTGCCGCATGCCCCCCTGTCCCTCTCCATGCGTTTACCCAACCTGCCTCACACCATCTCTCAAAGCTCACTCACACCACCTCTCAACCCTCACTCACACGCTCACTCGCACGCTCACACCCCCCACACACGCACAGGGCTGTGTGGGCAACCAGTTGATCGACGCCGCCGCGCTGGGCGGTCCCAAGGTGGCGGCGGTGGCGACCCTGGTGTCCGTGTGCCCGGTGACGCCCTTCCTCTTCACCAGCTACGAGCTGCCGCCCGAGGTGGCGCCCGCGGCTGCAGCCATGCGGGCCTGCCCCTCCTCCAGTAGGCACCTTATTTGGCAGGTAGGGGCGGGGGGTCAAAGACCATACCGAACCATAGGAAGCCACAGGTTGGGGCAAGACAAGGTGAGGGCGGGAGGGGGGAAGGGGAAGAGGAAGGGGCGGGGGTGGTATGGCGGGGCTGTAGCTGTGCTGGTTGAGGGGGAAGAAGGTAACGGTGTGATGATGAGGGGCCGGGGCGGGTACCGGTAACGAGGGGTTGAAGGAATGCTCAGTAGAGGCTAGAGAGGGTCGGTGCATGCAGCAAACAAGGGGCACAAGGGAGGGAGAAAGGCTCGTCTTGGGCGCTGTTGGTAAGTGGGGTAAGTGAGCTATTGGTAAGTGGGGTTCGCCCAAGGTTAGGTGTATCCGTATTGTAGCAAGTGGTGATGTAAGGCGGTGGGGGCGCTAGAGGCCCTGCTTGCTTGGGCCCTAGGTCTCGCTTGGGACTGAGACTCTGACTCGCGGCCAGTTTTCTTAACACACAAAGTACTGTTACGTAGCAGCTAGCGGGGAGAAGCGACACTGCTTCTGCCAATCTTACACGTGTCCTCAACAGCTTCAAAGCTTCACAATTTCAGCATCGGGGGCTAATCGCGGTGTAATTAATACGCCACGCACTCACAGAGGGCTGCACAGGAGGAAGCCCCTGGGGGAATCCGATGAATCTCTGAACGGGGAAAAGAGCCCTCCATGGAGCTGGACAATGGGCAACCATCAACCCACCCACCCAACTTCGGCAACGAAATACGAACCACAGGGGCATATCTCCCTCGAATCCAGCAGTCCACGGGGGACCTCCACCGCCACCACCACCTCCATGTGACCCCCATGCTGGGCTTGCAAAAGCCCAAAACAAAAGCGCTTCCGTGACCCCATCATCTTCCTCGCTGCTACTCAAGGCATTCTTGTCTTGTAACATCCTGCCGCCTCCTATCCCCTTTGTCTCGCCCTTACTTGTGGTTTGTGTTTATTGACCTAAACAACATGCCAACACCGAAAAAGCATGTCAACGGCCCACAACACACCTCATTGTGTACTACATCTGTGCACTACATCACTTTGCCGTACGAGGTTTGCATGCGCACCTCGTGTGTAACACCCCCAGCACCAACCACCGCCGCCCAGTCGAACAGCACCTCCATCGGACCGTTCAAGTGGCCCCCTCCCCAGCCACTCAGCCCCTGCACCAGCATCGCAAACCCCGTAATGACAATGCCTGTCCTGGAGAAGTCGCCGTCGTGCTTTGAAAACACCTTGAACTTGTCAGCAAAGCTATTAAAGGGCTTCTTCTCGCCGTCCACCCAGACCTGCGGTTCCTCCACGAAACGCAGATCGGGACCGCTGCGGGAACCTGTAAGCTGGATTGCGAATCGGGAACCCGCTCCGTACATCCTCTGAATGTGTGTGCCAAGGAGGTTTCGGGGCTCCTGGCTTCCTGTAGCAGCTGCCAAATCGGTTCTGAGGTCCTCGCGTTGATATGTGATATGCTGCTGACCGCGAATCGCTTTGTCGCTTGGCATTTCCGTGGCCATTTCCGTGGCTTGGTGGCTCCGTAAACAGCGCGCGATCAGGCAGCGGGTACGGCTGTGTTGGAAGGCGCGAGTGTGTTAAGAAAACTGTGAATTTTAGGTTCTTCTGCAAGGTTCTAGCGTAACATACTAGGTCGAATACAGCTAGGCACGAAAACTTTAGAAGCTGCCAAGTCGAGTAAGATGGTGGCAACGTCGACGTTAAAAAATCATACATGAAATGAAGGCCCGGATTAACGACGTGAAGTGAAAGGACAAGACCTTACAAGGCCTAAAAACAACCCGTGTAGTGATACTGGATGTTGACCCACGGGTCGGTTGCCGTGGACAAAGTGAAACTCGTTTTTGCCGGAAGTCGCTGGAACGGAAAGTAAACTGCACAAGTACAGCCTTCTTCTGAAATCCCTTGGCAATAGCGAACCAATAGAGAACTCCCTCCATTTGTAATATGTTTGTACATTTAACATGCTCGCCCCCCCCACCCTCTAACCATGGGTTTCTCTTCTTCTTTCCCCGCCCCAACCCTGCCCCCCCTTCCCCAGGCTGTTCGCGCCTCCTCCGCTGCGCCCTACTATCTGGACGACTATGTGTGTGGGGACGACCGATACCAGGTAGGAGCAATGCGGGTTGGGGAGGGGCCCGGATGAATGGTGGTGCTTGTTATGCCACCAAGGGTGGAAAGTGGCTGGGTTGGGTAGGTATTGGGTACCGTACCTCCCAGTGATCATCGCGCAAAAATAAATAATTATTTGGAAAAATGTGTATTAACGCGCAAAAATAAATAATTGGTCCGGGGCCTGCGCGTTAATAAAAATTAATTCCCCAAAGGACTGCGCGTTAACTAAAATATTGCCCATGGCGTGGCCCCCAGTGCGTGCTGACTCGAAATTCCGGGTTTCGCTCTTTTCCTGGCCCATCCATACCTACACCTCCTCTCTGATCCGTTTTAAGCCGTAGCTTTAAGTTCATTGCTCTGCTTTCCCGGTCTTTCTAGTATAAGCTTTAGGCTACTGCAGTACTACTTTAAAGGCTGCGCGAAGTGGAAAATAATTGCTCAGACCCCTGCGCGTTACAAAAAAATAATTCCTTACAGCGCTGCGCGTTAAAATAAATAATCCCTAAATTTCCTGCTGCGCGGTGATCAGACACAGGTACGGTAGATACAGCAGACAGGCAGAGGCCTTCCCTGGTACCGGTAGCGGAATGTGCAACGACGAGCTCGGGGCATGGGGCGACCATCTTCCCCTTCGTTGCTCCGTTCTCTGGATCCTCTTCGTATATCGAAGGCCTTTGAGTGCCGCAGCCGGACTAGGCACTTGCGTGTAGAGGGGGTTGGCAGAGGTAGAAGCGCAGAAGGGAAGGAGGGGGGGCCTGTCGCTGACCGAGGAAACCGTGCGGGAATGAGGGCCCTGGTGTTGCGACCCTTGGGAAAGGAGAGGGAGTCCTAGCTTCTTAGTTGTTACCAGTGAAGGAGGCTTTCGGGTTTAGTCCGGAACCGTTAGTCTTCCCAATCTGGAGCTAAGACTTTGTTTTGGTTAACTAACAACTTGCAAAAAGAGCGCTTTTATACTAACAAAAATGTAAGTCTTAGATGGTCAAACGTGCTTGGATAAGCACCCCGTTACACTACTGCTTGCGCATCAATTCTTGAATTAGTCGGCCTTAGTTACAAGCCACTACCCTGTCGCCGGAGATTGTGCGGTTTAAAGTATAGTGAGGCGGCATCATACACTCCAACGGACCGATTGACGGTTACACAACCCTTCAGCCACACATTTAGCCTCATTGATAATGCCTTACCTCCTTTCCCTCCACCTCCCAGCCCACCATCTCGGCCTACTTCCCCTCCCCACCTCCCCGTCGTTCAGTTCGTCAGTTTTCCTTATTTTTACCTCCCCCTCAGTCAGTTGGTTGTTTCCTCTTTACCTCCCCCTCCCCCCTCCCCCCCCACAAAACACCCACAGGACGGTGCAGCCACCGCCAACAATCCCTCCATCCTCGCCCTGCAGCAAGCCCGCCTGCTCTGGCCCCACACCCCCCTCGCCGCCCTCGTCTCCATCGGCTGCGGTACGGCACCCAGTGTACGGCGGGAGCGCGGGGCGCATGCCGTACTCGACACGGGTGCCGTACTGGTGGACGCGGCCACCTCCCCCGACCGGGCGGATGAGGCGCTGTCCACGTTGCTGCCGCTGGTTCCGGGGGTGCGGTACTTCCGTTTCCAGCCGGTGCATGAGCGGTGCGCGATGGAGCTGGACGATGTGAACCCGCAGCATTGGGCGGCACTGCAGGTGGGCTGTGGTGGGGTGGTGGGGTGGTGGGGTAAAGAGGAAACAACCAACTGACCGTGTGATAATGGGGGGTTGTGGGCTGGTGGCCTGCGTCCTGGGTGGAGTGGCGGCCAAAGAGGGCTTGCGTCGTAAGAAACAAATAGTTTCTGCATTTCTTTCCTGGTCATCTTATCCCACTTATCCGGCGCTGCTGCTTCCTGCAGGCTGCTGTGGATGAGTACTGCTCGGCGCATGCGGCCCGCTTTGACGAGCTGGCGGAGCTGCTTCGGGAGGGCAGCGGGCAGGAGGAGGAGGAAGTGGAGGGCGGGGAGGCGCAGGCAGGAGACGGGGAAGGCGGCGAAGCGGCAGAAGATCAGGACCAGTCGGAGGAGGAGGAGGAAGCGTTTGAGGCGCCGGAGGGGGTTGGGCCTGACGGGGCTCCTCTTCCTCTGGTGCCTAGAGTGAGGTGAGCGGACAGGGAGCAGGGATTGGGGCTGGGTTTGGGTTAAGGCAGGCAGAGGATTGGAAGTGGCTGTGTTAGGGAAGGTGTGAGAAGCGGTTGGAGTGTCTGTGGCGGAGAGGAAGGAAGGAGGGTCGCTCTGCTTGCATGCAAAGCCAGAGGCTTCTTTAACCTTTTTACAGCCAAAAAGAACCAATCGATCCTCCTCCAACAATCCGGTCTCTCAACCCCCGTCCCTCCTTATTCTCCACGGCAGGCTGGGCCCCCGACGTGGGCTGCTCCTGGTGGAGGCGCCCGCCCCCCTGTGGCCCCCGCCCGCCTCCACCCCTCCAACTGCCGCCACCCCCAACCCTGGCCTTCCCACCCCTGCTGCCGCCACCGCCGCCGCGGCAGCTCCCTCCACCGTCGCCCACAGCACCCTCGGCACCTCCGGCGGCTTCAGCTTCACACCTGCCGGCCTACAGGGCCCTCTGCCCTCCGGCCTTCCGTACCCGCCCCACTCCCGCCCCCAGACACCTGTTGCAACTCCACTGCCACCCCACCACCACAGCCACTACCGCCACCACCCCTCTACCTCGGCCCACCACCTGCATAGCTACACCAACAGCTACAAACACATCTGCCCGGGAGCTGTGGAGCAGGCGGTGGTTGCAGCGCTGAGCAGCCTGCAGCCATCTGCCAACCCGCACCCGCACCCGACCCTAGGATCCCACCCAGAAAGGCACTTGCAGCAGCATGAGCCCAACGCTTCCGCTTCCTCCATAACACTGCCGTTTACTGGAACCGTACCAGCCGGGGGTGTGCTGTTGCGGCGCTGCGACCTAGCGGCCGCCGCAGCTGATGCTGCGCTGTCAGCGGCGGCGGCAGCGGAGCACATGCGGCGGGTCGATGCGGCGGAGCAACAGCGGGAGAGGGAGGAGGCAGGGCGGGAGGAAGAGGTGCGGAGGCTGGAGCGAGGGAGGGTGGAGGCGGGGGAGCAGCAGGAGGTGCAGCAGCAGCAGCAGCGGCGGCGGCGGGAGCACCAGTTCGGAGCGGAACGGGGTTCCTCTGGGCTGGGCGAGGTGTTGGAGCCGGTCAAGGCTAGTGCTGCAGAGGCGTCGTTGCCCACCTCCCTGCCACCCCTACCGCTGATCTCCGGAGGTACCGCTGCTGCTGCTGGCGGTGGTGGCGGTGATGGCGGTGGCGGTGGTGGAGGTGGTATCTTCAGCCCGGTGCGGGGCGGTGGTCAGAGCTCTTTGCCTTCCCCACGTAGCGGCGGCTTCCGAGCATGGGGCTCGGTTTCCGCGGGACGTGCTGTACCAGGGGCGACGGCGACGGCGGCGGCGGGAGCTGACGGCGGCAGCGGCGGGTCGATGGTCCCCGGCGATGCCGCCGCCGCCGCTGCCGCTGCTGACGTGGCGACCACCTCCGTCGCCGACGCGGCCGTGGAGGCGGCCGCGGCGGCGGCGGGCGGCGTTGCACGAGCAGCCACGTCGTCGTCGCCGTCTTCGCTGTACGACTACTTTTTCGGTAGCTCAGGTATAGTACGACGGGGCTCGAGTGTCCGTGAAAGCAGTATTGGCGGCGGCGGTGGCAGCACACCCATTGCGGCGGCGGCGGCGACGGAGCCGACGGTGACGGAGGCGGCGGCATCTCCGCCAACGCAAGCAGCGGCGGCGCTGGCGGAATCCGCCAGCGGGCAGGCGTCAGGGGCTGCAGCCGCGCGCAAGGCGGGGCCCCCGGATTCCCCGGCGCATGCCCGCGCTCCTTCGTTGTCCGCAGGCGGCTGCAGTCCCTCCTTCGCATCGCCAGCGGCGGCAGCGCTGACGTCAGCAGCGCACCCCAACCGTGCCTCCACCGGCGGCGCTGTCGTACTCAGCGGCGGGGCCGGCGCCGCCGCCGCCGCCGCTGGCGCCGTCAGCGCCGCTAGCGATGTCACGGAAGTTTCTGTTCCTGCCGACGCCGCTGATGCCGACGCCGCCGTCATAGCATCGCCGGAACATAAGGTCGACGACGGCAATGACGGTGGTAACGACGACGGCGGCGGCGGTGACGACGCTGGCGGGGGTTGCTGCAGTACAGTACGGCCGGTGACGCTGCTGGCGGCGCTGTTGCAGGACCTCCGAGAACGATGTGGGCTGCTGCACTTAGCCCTGCCGGCGGTGGTGGCGGAGGTGGCGGAGTGGTGTAACGGCGGCGGCGGCGGCGAGGGTTGCGGCGGCGAGGGTGATTACTGCGGCCTGGTAGCAAGCTGGCGCCAAGAAGTGGTGGCGGTTGTGGAGCCAGGTAGGAGGCCTTGCGGCACTGCTGCTGTTAGCGAACCTTTGGGAACCTACTTTGGGCCGTTGATCTGCAGGAAAAACAGGATCTGCAAACTGAAAACAACAAGCGGCTTACAATCTTCCGGTTTCACCACACCTGTGCCGCCCCCTGATGCCGCTGCAGGTCCCGAAGCAGACCGCATCTTCTCCTCTCTAGCCGGGTGCTACGCGCCCCACCACTTTCCAAGCGGCAACGGCCACCCCAGATGCGATCCCAGCCCCGCCCCCAGCAGCCTATCCTCGCTGTTCGCCGCGGCCCGAGGGGGCCCCCTGGAGTGCCCTCGCAGTCGCTGCTGCTACTCGCTGCTGGCGCGGCAGGAGGTGTGGCACGGGGGGAGCACGCTGGCGACATTGCTCATCCAGGTGAGGGCCCCACCCGTGCGGCGCGGCTGCTGCTGTTGTTGCTGCTGCTGCTGCTGCTGCCGCTAGTGTCGCTGTTGCCATTGTTGGTAGCTACGGTATTACATGGTACTGCCTGACCCTATACACCCTGCCGTGCTTGTCCTTGACATGTTAAATGCGAGTTTGCACCCCCGGTCGTCTTATACTCGCAGGTCTGCCGCCCAGCAGCCCTACTGCGGCCCTCCGACTTGGCCGCCCTAGCGCCGCAGCTGGGAGGCATGATCGTCACGGCCGCCTCACCTCTACCTGCCGCCATTCGTACGGCCTTACTAAGCGCTGGCGCCGCCGCCGTGGTCTGCCCTGATACGCCGCTGGCGGCGGTATCGACTGAGTCGACTGGTACGGCACATGCGCCTCCGTCAACCCTGCCGACGTCGGGTACGACGATGCCGTCGCCGTCGCCGCAGCCAGTGCCGTTCCGCCGCGGTTCAGTTGCGCGTGAAAGCATCAGCTTTGGCGGCTGCTTGTCGTCACCACCACAGCAGCAGCCGCAGCCCCCGCAGCAGCAGCAGCACCTGTCGGTGGCTGTAGTACCCGAGGAGGGTGCTGAGATGGAGGGTGATGGTGGTTGTGGTGGTGGCGGGAGTGGTGTGGTGGCGGGTGCGGATGTAGCAGCGGTGGTGGAGTTTTACGAGGTGTTGGTGCGGGAGCTGCTGGCGGGGGCGAGTGTGAGGCGGGCACTAGATGCCGCGGAGCTGCGACAACCTGCGTTGAGGGGCCGCGTGGCCTTCCATCACTTGTGATAAGTGGCGGTGCAAATTGTTGTGCGCAGTTTTACGTGTGTGTAATACTGACTGTAACCCGAGGTGCGATGGAGGCATATGAGGTATCTGCGGGGTAGGCATACAATGGAGAGGAGGGTGGGAGGGCGATGTTTGTTTTGGGAGAAATGCAGGTGGAGAGATGTTGGTGAGTTTTTGAGGTGTTTCGGCGGTGCCTAGGTTTATGAGAGCAGTGTGCTTCATTCTAGTAAGCGTCTGTGTGACAGCAGGTGGGGTGGTGCAAGTAATAGCAGGGCTTTGAATTGCTGTACCTTGCCTGGTTGCATTCTCGTGCTGCACAAAGATGGTGGAATTAAGAACCTATAGTGAGCGCTGTCATGAAAGATTTGGCACAGCGGGTTGTAGATATTTGCGCTTGGGCCCCGCCGACCTAGCACCCACCGACCTAGCACCCACCGACCTAGCTCCTACCGACCTAGCAACCGCCGACCCAGCACCCGCCGACCCGCCGACCCAGCACCCGCCGACCCGCCGACCTAGCACCCGCCGACCTAGCTCCTGCCGACCTAGCACCCACCGACCTAGCACCCGCCGACCTAGCACCCGCCGACCTAGCACCCGCCGACCTAGGACCCGCCGACCTAGCACCCACCGACCTAGCACCCGCCGACCTAGCACCCGACTACCTTGCACCCGCCGACCTAGGACCCGCCGACCTAGCACCCGCCGACCTAGCACCCGCCGACCTAGCACCCGCCGGCCTAGCACCCGCCGACGTAGCACCCGCCGACCTGGCACCCACCGACCTAGCACTAATCGACCTAGCACTAATCGAACTAGCACCCGCCGACCTAGCACCCGCCGACCTAGCACCCGCCGACCTAGCACCCGCCGACCTAGCACCCGCCGACCTAGCACCCACCGACCTAGCACCCGCCGACTTAGCATCCACCGACCTAGCACCCACCGACCTAGCACCCGCTGACCTAGCACCCGCCGACCTAGCGGCCACCGACCTAGCACCCGCCGACCTAGCACCCGCCGACGTAGCACCCGCCGACCTGGCACCCGCCGACCTAGCACCCGCCGACCTGGCACCCACCGACCTAGCACCCGGCGACCTAGCACCCGCCGACCTAGCACCCGCCGACCTAGCACCCGCCGACCTAGCACCCGCCGACCTAGCACCCGCCGACCTAGCACCCGCCGACCTAGCACCCGCCGACCTAGCACCCGCCGACCTAGCACCCGCCGACGTAGCACCCACCGACCTAGCACCCGCCGACCTAGCTCCCGCCGACCTAGCACCCGCCGACCTAGCACCCGCCGACCTGGCACCCACCGATCTAGCACCCACCGACCTAGCACCTGCCGACCTAGCACCCGCCGACCTAGCACCCGCCGACCTGGCACCCGCCGACATAGCTCCCGCCGACCTAGCACCCGCCGACCTAACACCCGCCGACCTGGCACCCGCCGACCTAGCACCCGCTGACCTAGCACCCGCCGACCTAGCACTAATCGACCTAGCACTAATCGAACTAGCACCCGCCGACCTAGCACCCGCCGACCTAGCACCCGCCGACCTAGCACCCGCCGACCTAGCACCCGCCGAGCTAGCACCCGCCGACCTGGCACCCGCCGACCTAGCACCCGCCGACCTGGCACCCCCCGACCTAGCACCCGCCGACCTAGCACCCGCCGACCTAGCATCCCCCGACCTAGCACCCGCCGACCTAGCTTCCGCCGACGTAGCACCCGCCGACCTAGCACCCGCCGACCTAGCATCCCCCGACCTAGCACCCGCCGACCTAGCTCCCGCCGACCTAGCACCCACCGACCTAGCACCCGCCGACCTAGCACCCGCCGACCTGGCACCCGCCGACCTAGCACCCACCGACCTAGCACCCGCCGACCTAGCTCCCGCCGACCTAGCACCCACCGACCTAGCACCCGGCGACCTAGCACCCGCCGACCTAGCACCCGCCGAGCTAGCACCCGCCGACCTAGCACCCGCCGACGTAGCATCCGCCGACCTGGCACCCGCCGACCTAGCACCCGCCGTCCTAGAACCCACCGACCTAGCACCCGGCGACCTAGCACCCGCCGACCTAGCACCCGCCGACCTAGCACCCGCCGACCTAGCACCCACCGACCTAGCACCCACCGACCTAGCACCCGCCGACCTAGCACCCGCCGACCTAGCACCCGCCGACCTAGCACCCGCCGACGTAGCACCCTCCGACCTAGCACCCGCCGACGTAGCACCCGCCGACGTAGCACCCACCGACCTAGCACCCGCCGACCTAGCTCCTGCAGACCTAGCACCCGCCGAGCTAGCACCCGCCGACCTGGCACCCACCGACCTAGCACCCATCGACCTAGCACCTGCCGACCTAGCACCCGCCGACCTAGCACCCGCCGACCTAGCACCCGCCGACCTAGCACCCGCCGACCTAGCACCCGCCGACCTAGCACCCACCGACCTAGCACCCGCCGACCTAGCACCCGCCGACCTAGCACCCGCCGACCTAGCACCCACCGACCTAGCACCCACCGACCTAGCACCCGCCGACCTAGCACCCGCCGACCTAGCACCCGCCGACCTGGCACCCGCCGACCTAGCACCCGCCGACCTAGCACCAGCCGACCTAGCACCCACCGACCTAGCACCCGCCGACCTAGCACCCGCCGACCTAGCACCCCCCGACCTAGCACCCGCCGACTAGCTTCCGCCGACCTAGCACCCGCCGACCTAGCATCTGCCGACCTAGCACCCGCCGACCTAGCACCCGCCGATCTAGCTCCCGCCGACCTAGCACCCGCCGATCTAGCTCCCGCCGACCTAGCACCCACCGACCTAGCACCCGCCGACCTAGCACCCGCCGACCTAGCACCCGCCGACGTAGCACCCGCCGACGTAGCACCCGCCGACCTAGCACCCGCCGATCTAGCTCCCGCCGACCTAGCACCCTCCGACCTAGCACCCGGCGACCTAGCACCCGGCGACCTAGCACCCACCGACCTAGCACCCACCGACCTAGCACCCACCGACCTAGCACCCGCCGACCTAGCACCCGCCGACCTAGCACCCGCCGACCTGGCACCCGCCGACCTAGCACCCGCCGACCTAGCACCCGCCGACCTAACACCCGCCGACCTAGTCCCCGCCGACCTAGCACCCGCCGACCCAGCACCCGCCGACCTAGCACCCGCCGACCTTGCACCCGCCGACCTAGCACCCGCCGACGTAGCACCCGCCGACCTGGCACCCACCGACCTAGCACTAATCGACCTAGCACTAATCGAACTAGCACCCGCCGACATAGCTCCCGCCGACCTAGCACCCGCCGACCTAACACCCGCCGACCTGGCACCCGCCGACCTAGCACCCGCTGACCTAGCACCCGCCGACCTAGCACTAATCGACCTAGCACTAATCGAACTAGCACCCGCCGACCTAGCACCCGCCGACCTAGCGCCCGCCGACCTAGCACCCGCCGACCTAGCACCCGCCGAGCTAGCACCCGCCGACCTGGCACCCGCCGACCTAGCACCCGCCGACCTGGCACCCCCCGACCTAGCACCCGCCGACCTAGCACCCGCCGACCTAGCATCCCCCGACCTAGCACCCGCCGACCTAGCTTCCGCCGACGTAGCACCCGCCGACCTAGCACCCGCCGACCTAGCATCCCCCGACCTAGCACCCGCCGACCTAGCTCCCGCCGACCTAGCACCCACCGACCTAGCACCCGGCGACCTAGCACCCGCCGACCTGGCACCCGCCGACCTAGCACCCACCGACCTAGCACCCGCCGACCTAGCTCCCGCCGACCTAGCACCCACCGACCTAGCACCCGGCGACCTAGCACCCGCCGACCTAGCACCCGCCGAGCTAGCACCCGCCGACCTAGCACCCGCCGACGTAGCATCCGCCGACCTGGCACCCGCCGACCTAGCACCCGCCGTCCTAGAACCCACCGACCTAGCACCCGGCGACCTAGCACCCGCCGACCTAGCACCCGCCGACCTAGCACCCGCCGACCTAGCACCCACCGACCTAGCACCCCCCGACCTAGCACCCGCCGACCTAGCACCCGCTGACCTAGCACCCGCCGACCTAGCACCCGCCGACGTAGCACCCTCCGACCTAGCACCCGCCGACGTAGCACCCGCCGACCTGGCACCCACCGACCTAGCACCCATCGACCTAGCACCCATCGACCTAGCACCCGCCGACCTAGCACCCGCCGACCTAGCACCCGCCGACCTAGCACCCGCCGACCTAGCACCCGCCGACCTAGCACCCACCGACCTAGCACCCGGCGACCTAGCACCCGCCGACCTAGCACCCGCCGACCTAGCACCCACCGACCTAGCACCCACCGACCTAGCACCCGCCGACCTAGCACCCGCCGACCTAGCACCCGCCGACCTGGCACCCGCCGACCTAGCACCCGCCGACCTAGCACCAGCCGACCTAGCACCCACCGACCTAGCACCCGGCGACCTAGCACCCGCCGACCTAGCACCCCCCGACCTAGCACCCGCCGACTAGCTTCCGCCGACCTAGCACCCGCCGACCTAGCATCTGCCGACCTAGCACCCGCCGACCTAGCACCCGCCGATCTAGCTCCCGCCGACCTAGCACCCGCCGATCTAGCTCCCGCCGACCTAGCACCCACCGACCTAGCACCCGCCGACCTAGCACCCGCCGACCTAGCACCCGCCGACGTAGCACCCGCCGACGTAGCACCCGCCGACCTAGCACCCGCCGATCTAGCTCCCGCCGACCTAGCACCCTCCGACCTAGCACCCAACGACCTAGCACCCACCGACCTAGCACCCGCCGACCTAGCACCCGCCGACCTAGCACCCGGCGACCTAGCACCCGGCGACCTAGCACCCGGCGACCTAGCACCCACCGACCTAGCACCCACCGACCTAGCACCCACCGACCTAGCACCCGCCGACCTAGCACCCGCCGACCTAGCACCCGCCGACCTGGCACCCGCCGACCTAGCACCCGCCGACCTAGCACCCGCCGACCTAACACCCGCCGACCTAGTCCCCGCCGACCTAGCACCCGCCGACCCAGCACCCGCCGACCTAGCACCCGCCGACCTTGCACCCGCCGACCTAGCACCCGCCGACGTAGCACCCGCCGACCTGGCACCCACCGACCTAGCACTAATCGACCTAGCACTAATCGAACTAGCACCCGCCGACCTAGCACCCGCCGACCTAGCACCCGTCGACCTAGCACCCGCTGACCTAGCACCCGCCGAGCTAGCACCCGCCGACCTGGCACCCGCCGACCTAGCACCCGCCGACCTGGCACCCGCCGACCTAGCACCCGCCGACCTAGCACTCGCCGACCTAGCATCCCCCGACCTAGAACCCGCCGACCTAGCTTCCGC